TTTGTTTTATTCTAAACTGTGAATTAAAAAAAAAGATAAAACCATTTTAACTTAATAAAGGATATGGCCTCCTCTACTGTTCATTACAGCACTACATCGTCTCTCCATGCTCCTGATCAGGTTTTCGATCTCTTCTTGAGGTACAGCCTGCCACGCTGCATTCACGGCCCGAACCAGATCCCTACGAGTTTCACGAGGCATACGCATTCTCAAAATTCTTCTTTGAACCGCGTCCCATACGTGCTCGATGGCGTTGAGGTCAGGAAATTGTGCCGGCCAGGGTAAGATGTTTAATTGATGATCATTGATACACTCACTTACCACTCTGGCTGTATGAGGCCGTGCATTGTCATGCATGAGAATGAAGTTTCTTCCAAAATCATTGGCATATAGTAACACGACAGGGTCAAGAATTAAATCGCGATATGTGATTCCTATTAGAAACCTTTCAAGAAAAACGAGATCGGTTTATCGGCCTAACTGGACTCCTCCCCAGACCATAACTGTTCCACCTTGATAAGGGTGCACTTCCTGAACATGATCCAACCGAATAAGATTTCCCGGTTCTCTCCATACCCCAAGCCTTCTCGAATCCGGATGAATTCCAAAGCGTGACTCATCCGTGAAGAGAACATTGGCCCATTGTTCATTCGACCACTGAACATGATCTTGAGCCCACAAATTTCGTACCTCTCGATTTCCTCTCGTTAAGGGTTGAGCTCTCCAGGGGCGTCTGCTTCTTAAGTTGACCTCTCTTAATCTATTGCGAACAGTGTCAGGACTAACGGTTACATTATGTGTTTCCTGGAGAATTAAACTAAGCTCTGGTGCTGTAAGAGTCGATCGGCGTCGAGCATTTAATTGTAAAAAATGATCTTGCTGAGGGGTAGTAATGCGATGTCGCCCTGTGTGCCTTTCAGCAACATCACCACTTTCACGGTAGCATGCACTTAATCGCGATATTATACTTTGCGTTGTATTTAATGCTCTAGCTACGTAGATTTGGCGCATTCCAGCTTCGAGCATACCCATAGCCCTTAGCATTTCGTTAAGATGTCTACGCTCCCATAATGTCGTTTAATACTAAACAGAGTTATTTGAATGAATTCTGGCAAACATCATAAAAACATAGCCAGTACAGGTTAAATTTGAACAATTGATGCTAGGTGCTTTGACAAAAAATGCACAAACACTTCTGCAAATATCCCAAATTTAGAAATAACTAGTGTGACTACTTCGTTTCAATCGAAGTAGAAAGAATCGGCCTACAAATATGTGGTTGTTTATTCAAAACATTTATTTTTAACTTTAATAAAATGATATCCCTAGATTTTTCCGGTGTGTGTATATAAAATGTTATTTTAAACAAACTAAAATCTCTGTTTTAATATACAGGGTGAGCCTTAAATAAGTGCAAACATTTTTAGAGGCAGTATATTTCGAGTAACATAGGTAGTAGATTAAATTTTCAAGAAAGAAAACCGAGAAAAGATCCAGTGGTTCTCAAATTCTAAGCATATTTTTTTTGGAAATTTTCAAAGTAAAATAACTCGGTAATTATGGACTTATTTCAAAAACATTAAAGAGAAAATATGTTTCTTTTATCGAGATCTGCAAGCCCTAAAATATTTGCACTTACTTAAGACTCACCCTGTATAAAGAGTTTAAATTAAATTTGCTAAAAAAATTAATAACCTAACCTAAAGAAACAAAAATAAAATAAATAAAATATTTCACCTGACGCCACACGCATATATAGATAAATATAGTAATTATAATTTGCAGTGGTTCAATCCAAATCTAAACAAGGAAGAAAACTAATACTAAATTCGAATTGAGCATTTTTAATGTCGTATTTTTCAAATAAAAACTGTTTATATTAATTAAAAACATTGAAAATGTCAAAAACTAACAAAATTAAGTACGAAATATATATTAGTTAAATATAATAAAAGAAATAATAAACATAAGTTAAATTTCAATAAACATTAATTTTAAATAATTATAAATTGTTTCATAATTATTTAAATTAATATATGTTCTTAACAACGGCTTAACACAAAGCAAAAATTATATAGATAAATATAGTAATTATAATTTGCAGTGGTTCAATCCAAATCTAAACAAGGAAGAAAACTAATACTAAATTCGAATTGAGCATTTTTAATATCGTATTTTTCAAATAAAAACTGTTTATATTAACTAAAAGCATTGAAAATGTCAAAAACTAACAAAATTAAGTACGAAATATATATTAGTTAAATATAATAAAAGAAATAATAAACATAAGTTAAATTTCAATAAACATTAATTTTAAATAATTATAAATTGTTTCATAATTATTTAAATTACTATATTTTATTAAAAACGACTTAACACAAAGCAAAATTACACCTTTTGTTTAACTGCAATAATTTATTTTAATTTAAATGGTTTCCCATTTATTTAGTCTTGACAATATGGTGAAGGAATCTTGAAAAATTCTAAATTAATTTCAAAATAAAGAATTAATTCGTACCGGAAGCATACATTTATATTTTAGCAATAACGTAATAACGTCACCAACTTGCATATTTAAATTTAATGTTTTAATAATTAAACAATTAAGACATTACTGCAAAATATTTAAAAAAATTCCATTCTTTTAATTTCCGTTTTTTTTTAACAAGGAAAAAACTATTCTGCTTTTGTATTTTTTTACAAAAATGTAAACAGTAGCTTATGGCATGTTAGCCCATACTCCATACTAGAAAAAAAATGTCTTTAAATTTTAGATCTTTTTATTAAACGAGTAAAAACAAAAAATTGTTATTTTCATAAAAGTTTGAAACACCCAATGGAGTGGTTTAACAAAGAAAGAAATTTAAAACCCACTTTATCATCAAGATGCATTCTTTTTCGTTCATTGGCCTCAATAGCTTTACTTTTATTGGAGATATTTGTTTTTTTAGAGCACAGTAGCGATTTACAGCAATTTTAGCACCCAAGAATGCCTTTGCTTTTGGTCCTAGTCAGCACATCTATAAAATAGTGTTTAATTTTAAGCTATATTTTTCTTATTATTATTTGTTGGCAATAGCAGAGATGATTACAGTTGAGGGTTGGAACCTTTGATGTTACAACAGCAAAATAATACACTAATTTACGAGAGTACACCAAAACACTTTGCTTTTGCACTGGACGCGCGTTTCGCTAACAATGTTAGCATTATCATGTTATTATTATTATTATTCACCAAGGCATATCCCATACAGCACATCAAATCACATTTACGATGTGTATACATTATTAGATGCAGACAAAGGGTGACACAATTCCCCCGATGTAAATATGCTACGTTTATACATTGTAGCTCAACACGTATGCACACAGGTTAAACGTCCGCCTCACAATGTAGCCACAGTATAGCATTTACGTATACACAAAGTAAGGGATACACAGTGTGCCGTAGGATACACAGTGCTTGTGTATTACGTTTAAACTCTGTTTACACATTGCAGTTGTGACTACCGCGTGTATACGTATGTATTTTGCTTCGTATATACATCTTGTGCTAAATAAAACGACTTCTTATGAACGAATTTAGGAAATAATACAAGTTTTGATGCCTTTTTTCGTTCTTTTTAAGAATTATTTATTCAATGATCCCAATTATATCTTTTTAGAACAAAAATTAGAAAGGCAAAACTTTGTATTTTCCAAAAGAAAACACTGTAAAAGAACAGAATTTGTATCAAAACGTATTAAAAATATAAGTACCTAGTATAACAACATACTAAAATGGTAAACACTGGTATATCGCCACGATTTGGTGGACCTCGTTTAGTCATTTTTTTCTCCTCTTTTCCCTCCAAGCAGTTGGTTTGTTAGCATACTCATTCAACAAGCACTCTGTTGGACTTTGTTGTATTTTATTTCCAGATTAACAATCTCACCCTTAAATTTTATATGAAACTGATTATTGAATATTGAACATATCTTTATATTGACCCATCAATAACTTACCGAATATCAGTGTAAGAAGTTCTTTGAAGTGTTTAAATCTTTCTTTCTCTGGTCCATTTAGATTTTTATTATTTCCAAATTAAAAAAAAATATATTGCAGAGCTAATCTCCTTATCATTATACAAGAATATTTGGAGTTTTCATTCATTGGAGTCAAAATTTGGTAAATTGGGTATCGAATACGGAAAGAGTCGCTACTATCATATTAATAATACACTTAGGAAGGTGTAACAAGGTGATTAAAAACTTGTGCTTACCTTAAAATCTCTTTTAAACTACACACAAACAGAACATTTATATAGAGCTTCCAACCCGCCAATAAATAATATAGCCCAGCCTAGGCGTATTATAATAAGCCTTAACACAAGTTAAAAGAAACTTCAACATCAGAATAATATTCTTATTTATAAAATAAGTAGATAAATTATAATAAAATTTAAGTTTATTTAATATTAAATATATTTTTTTATAACACTCTGTATAAATCGGTATTATAATTTAAGTATATTATAATTTCTGTACAACTAATTTAAGATACACGCTATATCAATATATTATGGGTCTATGCAAAATGTACAATGCCTTTTGTACCATTTAGGACCAAATGGATGACTATATTGTTTACAGTCCCGCAACTTTGCGGATCCGCGGGATTGATTGCTTTAATCCCGCGGGTTTGCGGGATTGAGATTTTGGTTCGGGATTGCATTCACTAGTATAGACATTTTTTGCATCTGGGTGTATTATATTTACGGTTCAACCTTGTTGGGGGTTTCTCCGAATATAATTTCGTTGCCATTTTCCAATAATTGAAATATTTCTATTTCATATCTATGACAAAAATTATACTAACAATCAATGGCGTGGTGCTTTCTTTAAATATATTCCTCCAATCGGCTTATAATCCAAAAGGCAACTACTCTAACCCCTTTGTATTTAAATTTCGAGTACAAATAATTTGATGCAAATCGAATCATTTCTCGAATTGATTTTTTACCTAACAGTATGAATTCGTTTCGTTAAAAAACGTGCGATTTCGTTAAATTATAACGCCAAACTAATTTATTTAATTAGATACGAGAAAAATGTACGGCGCGGGTGCAAGTTTGGGAGTTGTTAAGAGAAGGAAATCAGAAAGTAAGAAAAAAGGTATGAAAATGTTCATATGAAATCTCGAAAGTATAGCTAGTATTTAACTTTCATGAATGTAATAGATACTGAGTTTGTTTTTTAGTTTTGATCATAATATTTTCAGAAAATTATATAATTCTTTTTAAATAAACGTGTACTGTATATTTCGATACATTGATTTAAGAGTGTAAATGAACATATTGGCGTAAACAAAACAAGTCAATAAACTCACTAAATGTCAATTCGATCTTTTTTCCTATTCTTTCGCCAATGTAGATAGTATTTCAATTATTTAGAATGTTTATAATTATTGGATTTATTACATACATACAGTTCCATATTATCTAATACTTTCATGTCCAAATATTTTTAAAGAAAAATAAGGTAACAAAGCTGTGACAAATTAATGAGTTTTTCTAGGGCTTTCCATAGCTTGTTATGGGGTACGCTGTCGTAGGCTTTTTTTAAATCTATGACTACTCGGTGGGTTTCATGATTGTAGACACCTCTGGTAGACACTATTATTTTTAATAACTTAAGAGACATAATTTATGTAGTCTATAGTTGGTCTTCCTGCCCGAAATCCTGCTTGTTACTCAGCTTTTAAGTCTCTGTATTCGGCCTCTATTTTATTTATCAATATCTTGCCAGATACTTTATACAATGTGCTGATGACAGCTATACTCCTGTAATTATCGCAAAGAGATTTTTCTGCTTTTTTATACAGGGTGTCCCAGAAATAAGTGCAAGTATTTTAAGGGTGGTAGATCTGGTCAAAAGAAACACTTTTTCTCTTTATACCATTTTTTTAAATAAGTCCAAAATAACCAAGTTATTTTATTATGAAAATTTAAACAAAACATGCTTTTTTGCTTAAATTTTGAGAACCACTGGATCTTTTCTGGATTTTCTTTCATGTAAATTTAATCTACTACCCATGTTGACAAATTATGAAGAAATTATGTTTTTTAACTTAAAACTAAAAAAAAATTCCAAATTTTCAAAAAAAATTTTCGCAGTGCGTGTTTCTGAGAACGAAATATACTACCAGTTAAAACACTTGCACTTATTTTTCGGACACCCTGTATAATGAAAATGCAGAGCAGACCAGTTATCTACCTATACTAATATATACAGGGTGAGTTTCCTACGATGTTCTCTATGGGTATCTCGGAAACTACTGGAGATAGAGAGTCAGTTAAATGGGGAAAGAATTGCATTGAAACTATTAAAAATTTTGAAATACTTTAAATACAAAAATTGTTCATTTTTTAACTCTCCATCTAATAAAAAAATAATATACAAGATGTTCCATTTAAAAAAACAATTTTAGAAAGTCTGGTGTAGAATTTTGAAAATCTTGTATAATTTAGGTATGATTACAATATTTACCATTTTATCCTGGTTTGTACTTAAACAAACTTTTCAACTTTTTTATTCTAAGCCCTACATATGCCCGACGCACTGTTGCCGGACCCTGTAAACTTCTTCCTTTTCACAAATATTTAACAAATTTTATGTAATACATTCATTCTTCGTTTTGTGTTTTAGTCACCCATTCAACTCTTCTTATTTAGATATTTTATTTATACATTGTATCTTCCTAAAACATTTATGCTATACAATCAAACGTAAGAACTATTCTGAATAACATTTTGGTTAATTTTAATAAAAAAATACGAAGACAAAAAACCTTACTGTCAAATTTAGAACAATTATAATTTCAAAATTAAAAAAAATGCATTTAAAAATAATTAGGCCGTGTGTTATATTAATATGACGCAGAGAAAAAAATTGTAAAAAGTATTCTAAGCATACTGCTGCTATCAATGTATAACAAAAAATTATAGAAATTTTAATTTAGATTTCGCATTAATGGATCCCGTAGACTCAAACAATAATGTTGAAGGTAACAAATATTCTATTAGAGGATAAGAACAATAGCAACGAATGAAAAAAAAAGTTCAAAGTTATCTGCATATATTTAACCTTTCTATTTTTTTTATTTTTGTTTTTTTTTTATAGATAAGCAACAAACTACAGCTTTATTTAGTTCAAATTACGAAAGAATCTACAAGGAATCGATAGAAAATCCAGAGTCGTTTTGGGCCAAAGTTGGAGGATTGCTGTCGTGGTCCAAACCTTGGAAGAAGGTTCTGGATAATAGCAACGAACCTTTCACAAAATGGTAATTGTTTTTTTTTGTATTTTTAAAATGCAAAATTATGCAAAATTATTAATTTTTGCTAACTATATCATAAGTAGATTTTTATAAAAGATTTTGTTGTTAAAATACGCCTCTTCATGTCAAAAAATTAAGTATATTGGTGAAAGTTCCTAAATACGTTGAATTTTCTAATACCAAAGTGTATGAAAAATGTCGGTAATATCTTTTTTGGCTTATTGGAAACACACCTATCAAAATACCTACGTAACAAAACACAGATTCTATCCTTTTCAACAAAATTGCAACTGAAATTTCTAAAATGAGTACCAATTTGGAGTTTTCTGGTCACTTAAGGTAAAAATGGTAACTCAAGCTACCTCTCTGTGTTTTTGTAAACAGAGTTCATTTGGTAGAAACGACACTATCCAGTGGGTATTTTGTATCTGTATTCCGTTCGTGCATCTAATCAATTGGAACAATTAAAAAGTTCTCAAATTTGTGTATAATGAGTTTTAATCAGGCACTACTTTAAAGAGATAAAGAATTGGCCATTTTTTAATTTCAGGGTAGCTTTAAAAGTGCAAAACATTAAATCTAAAAATGTAAAATAATTTAAAAATTACTACATTATTACATTATGATAATTTTTAAAAGTATTTGTAGAATGGTAAATTTATAACAAATTAACTGAGCCATTTAAAGACTAAAATATTAGTTAAAATACATCTAAATCTGTATGTCTATGAAAATAATCTTAAAATAATATACTAGTAATTTCCAAATATTTTATCAAAGTCCAAGTGAAAATCTCAAATAGGAAACTTTTTTGACTACTGTCGCTTTTACTGGTGACGTGGTGACTGTGTCACCCTGTACTATACTAGGAAAGTGCTGTCTGGATCTGGAAATAAATCTCAGCAAGAGTAAACTTACGGTAATCGATCGAGGTGAAATCCCTCCACGACCTGAACTTCTAAATATAAAAAATGAAGATGAATCTCTATTATCTGGGATTCATATTAAGTAACCAAAAAGGCAAATGGCAATGGCACAAAGGAATATGAAAAAATTGAAATAAAAAAATATCCTGAAATTGGAATAAGAAAGTATCCTATAAATATCAGAAATGAGGACTCGAGATCAATAGCAACAAAACAGAATATATGTGTATCGGAGGAGAACAACAAGATCTAATACTAGAAGAAGGGAAGAAAATTAAGTGCTGCGCAAAATACAAATATTTGGGTATGCAAATCACGAATGATGGACCTTTGGATACAGCAATAAAAGAATGAAACCAACCTGGAAGGAATGCTATCACGGTATTAAATGGGATACTGTGGGACAGAAGTATTAACAACAAGAACAAAACACTAATATATAATACCATCATCAAGAGTATAACCACGTACAGCTGTGAAGTGTGGCCAATTAAAGGAAACAACAAAACGAATTCTGGAAGCTACAGAGATGGATTTTTGGAGAAGATCAGCAGGCAAATCAAGACTCGAACGAGTGACTAATGAACGCATAAGAGAGATTATGGAAGTTAAACATACAATAGTGGACGAGATAAAGAACAGTCAACTCATATGGTACGGGCATGTCCAAAGAGTGGCAGAAATAAGAATCCCAAGGCAAATTATGGACTGGAAACCTGCAGGAAGAAGAAAACCGGGTAGACCGAGAAGAAGTTGACAGGAAGGGATTGACACGTTTATGGAGGAAAGATCTCTGGGAGACGGTGCATGGAGAGACAGACAGACATGGAGAGATGGCATCGGAAGACGTAGAACATTTTAAACCGATTAGTATAAATATAGAAAATATCCATCATATTCTCAATCTTCCTGTACGGAACGGACGATCAAAACATCAGACATACAAAGAATATATGCGTTTGAAACGTGGTATTGGTAAAAATGTTACGAATATATGTATATGCATCTATACTAAAAGAGTTGAAGGTCAAAGACAGATTATCCACAACATGTCGCCGAAGAATGCTATGTAAATTACTTTGAAAAACTAATAGTACAGGGAAAGGTAGAAGGTAAACAACCGAGGCAGGTCACCTGTTAGATGGATAGATCAAGTAAAGAAGATACACCCCCACAGAATCTGCATTTGCCGTTGTTCCTCAGCTGCAGCCTACTGAGGTGTTCGTTGAGGAGACAGTGACTTGTTAAAAACCCCATGATAATCAGAAGTTTGTTCGTACCTAAACCAAGGAAAATCTTTAATTTTTCTCGGTCGTAAGTTCTAAGGAACTCTTTCGAGTGTCTTAGACCGTTGGTTAAGGTAGACTTCCCATTCCAGGTTACAGATGGAGTCTTCCAGGTTCCTCAGTTCCGCCTTTAGTTGGTTTCCGCTTGGAAAACAGAACGGTTCTGGTCCAGTTAATGGAATGTTCGCTCCTTCTCTAGCTAGATCATTTGCTTTTTCATTGCCTTCTATCCCTTGGTGAGCAGGCCCCAGAGTAGGAGGACTTTATTTTCTTTGCCTAATTTGTTCAGCTTCTCTAGGCATTCTTTGACCAACTTCGAATTGATGGTTACTGAGTTGATCGCGTTTAGTGCTGCTTGACTATCGAATAAGATGGCTATTTCCTATTTTCAATAGTTCCTATCTAAGATAAATTATTGCATGTGTCACCCTGTAAAGGTGACTTGAATAAGTGCACAGTGTAACGAAAATAACATAAATGTCTCGCTCACAATAATTTCTGAAGCTTTATTGAAGTTTTTTTAACAGATTATTTTTATATCATTTTTTTTCATTAATATTTTTTAGCTATAATATACAACGTAAGGATTAATAAACCCATTATAATTTAATTGAAAAGCTCATAATAGATATTTCATGTTATAAGTAAGTGGTCAGGCTTATTAAAAATAGCCTAATTAAGCCAAACAACTTGCTACTTTAATTTCTGCACGTTAGAAGACTAAAATCGATATTCTCTATAAATAAGAAAAATTTTAATATATTGCTACTATCAATATAGGTATGTTGGCGGTGAAATCAACGCTTGCTACAATGCTGTGGACCGACACGTCGAAGCTGGAAATGGTTCGAAAGTAGCGCTTATTTATGACAGCCCCTTAACAGGGGTTGTCAAAAATATCACTTATTCTGAACTCTTAGAAAAGGTAAGGATGTCATTGCTACACTTTTTCACGTTTTTAACTACTGAATCACTGATCGGTAATCAGAACAGATCGTCCGTCTAGAAAATATCCGGAATTTTGTATTTTTCCTAATTTAAATGTATTTTTTTTTCTGTACCACTCTAAAGGTGCGTATTCATTATCCGCACGAACGAACGAACGAACGAACGAATGTTCGCTAGTGGTATGGACGGGGACCGCACGATAGAACCGCACGAGAAGACCGCACGCATTTCTTCATTCGCGCGCCAGTTCAAATCGTCAAGATATTGTTATAAACCTGTTTTTTTTTGTTTATATACCGTCATTGAATTATCGCTAAGCAAGTTACTATGGAGCAGTGCATAAGGAGTCGGGCTAGGAAGTGAGAGACCGGAGCTCGAATCTCGGCCGGAACATCACTTTTTATTTTTTTTTAAATACTGTTGTATTCTATAGTTTATTTTTGTAGTATAAGAAAAAGAACTATTTATTCTGTTATTTTTTAATCTCCGTTATTAATATAAATTGATTGTTAGTACAATACCTCATTTAATATAAAATAATATTCTACTTTTTGAAATGTATCGGGCCCTAATTGTACCTAAAAGTAATATATTTTTAGTGATATACCATATTGTAAACTATTTAATATTTTAGTCACTTAAAAAGTTAATTTGCATTGAATAATTGCCTACCATTAAAGGAAATTTGAGCTATATAATCCTTGATGGGCATATTCTGGGTATGCAAATACTTCCTTTAAATTTTGGGTGTCGTTCAACCGATTTATTCTCAAAACCAGAAACTTCTACATATAAAAAGAAGCAGAGGTCACTAATTATAATAAACTTCACCCTTGGTATTACTTCCACTAATTATAATAAACTTCACCCTTAGAATTACTTCTATCACAATTACAATACGTTCATCTGCATTGGCATTTTCTACTTTTCGATGGGAAACAATAAACTTCCCAATATTTTTTAAATGATGTAACAATTCCTCTTGTGGTTACTTTTCCATAGATATCCTCAACTCTGTCCTCATGTGAATTCAGAGGCAATGAAAATGAAAATTATTTACCATAAACATCGCAAACTAAAAACCTAATAAACAATTTTATACCGAATATAGAAATAAATTCAGTATTCTTACCTATCGTCCAAATCCATGTTAATAGATAATTATTATTTTTAAATATATTTTTGGAACTGCTGGTTTTAGTAATTATTAAATTAAACGAACTAAAAAGTCTTAAAATAAACAATTCTTAACCATAACCCCAAAAATTGCAGATCTCCTGTCAACTTTCTTTATTTTTTATTTATTCATTATTTTCCTAGTGACGTCACAGGTGGTATGCGCGAACTGAACGAAATTGGAGCCGCTATCGATCGTACCTTGTATTCTTTGTACCATGACGTCTAAACGCCTTTGATGTACCGACTAGAAGCGGATGGTCGAGCGCACGAACGAACGAACGGCCGCATGCGTTCGGTCCCCGTCTAAATATACCGCACTTTCATTCGTTCGTTCGTTCGTTCGTTCGTTCGTTCGTTTGTTCGTTCGTTCGGATAATGAATACGCACCTTAAATCTGAAAGCGCACGCAGGCGAACGCCTTTGGTGTACCGACTCGAAGCGGATGGTCGAGCGCACGACCGAACGAACGGCCGCATGCGTTCGGTCCCCGTCTAAATATACCGCACTTTCATTCGTTCGTTCGTTCGGATAATGAATACGCACCTTAAGACAACAGTAATCCATCACGTAGGTTGTGCCGATAGTAGGCTATGACCAAAATCGCATGGCAACATCATCTTGTCAAATATTGTTGATTGCAAACCGGTTTAAGATTTGAGAAATAATGTCGCAAGTAAAAAAAGAGAGAAAAATGGTGGAATATTTGTATAGAAAAAGGTGTTCGAAACGTTAAAAAATTAGTGCAATTGACTGAACACGGAAAACGTGCAGTATATGTGACAGTAAAGAGGATAAAAATGGCACAGATATTAAGCATGGACCAGTTTTAGGAAGACTGCGTAAGAGTCGCGAAAACAATAATTTAAACGCTTTAGTGGCATTAAGACGACAGAATCCACGCCTAGTGTTGCGCAAATTGGCTAACAGATTTCGAAGTGCAAAATATTGAAATATTTTAAATGGTTTTCTTCTTGAAACGGCTCATGTTTTATATCCAGAGGGGTGGTGTTTTCAGCAGGATAATGCAAGATGCCATACGTCTGCCTATACTCAAGCTTGGATGCAATAATACCATTTGGCATTAATTCAAAGGCCAGCAGCTTTACCAGACTTTAGTCCCATTGAAAACATATGGGGACTAATAAAGATTGAAGTGGAACGAGCAGCTCCACGAAATAAACAAGATTTGATTCGCTCAGTTTTACAGGCCTGGACTACTGCCACTGAACATTATGGTGTGGACCTAGTTTCGGGTGTACCTGGACCTTTAGTTAAGTGGTTGGAGTTAAATGGAGGCTGTATGAGTAATAAGTCCTAAAATATATATATCGATATTTGTAATTTTGCTTTCTTTTTTGCGGATACTTTCTAGACGGACTACATTTTGATTACTGCTGATAATATGCTGTTTCTGAAAACATCTGAATTAAAGTTTATATTATAGCATGTAACTTCTTTAAACTTTTCTTTTCTTCTATAAAGATTTCTAAATACTTTTGGGCCTAACCAAATGACGCGAACAAAAACAAAATGCAAGTTGAAAATTCCCACCAAGCAAAAAACCTCACATTACATTTGCAACATTGCAGTCAATCCCCAAACAGTTTGCTTTGTAATGTTGATTTCTAAACGTCGTGTCGTGATTGATGAGACCTTGCTACAGAAACATTGTTTTTGAATGGTGATTAAAACGTTTTTTTCTGCAACATTGCAACAAAGATTCAAATAAAAGATCCGCGCAAGTTAATATTAATTAATAATATAACAAATATACCATTGGATCGAAAAAAACGGCGTCTAGTTGGCTTGGAAATGAATATTGATGACATTCCCCATATAAAATAACAGCGATTTTCTTTTCATAGCCATCGCTGAAGTCTTTTTTTTTCGATCATACGGTATAAGTTAGGTTAGGTTAACGCACAAAGCACTTGTTTATTTACGTTTTTGGTATCACATTTTATGCTTTTCGAATGAGATTTTAATGAATGTAAATGTAAGTATAATTTTATTATTATATGTGTTTTAATAATACTTAGCCATGAATAAGTATAACAAATTTTGTTTAGTTTAGTTTGTTTTTAAGCTAAATTTTATGTTTTAGGTTAGATTTTAGCCAACTGAAGATTGAAGTAGATAAAATCAGGATACTAGTATATCAATCTAATGATAAAATCACAAATAATATTCAATATTAATTATTCTCAATAATATTTTTTAATGATGTTATAATCATTTGAAATTTTATAAAATAAGGATATAATGGGCCTCAAAGATTACTGTCACAAGAGGTAAGTTTCTCATTGCTTTTTATTTATTACAACTGATTGTTTTTATTTTTACTACTTTAGAAATGATTGGATATAGATTTCAAAACTTTACCGAGAAGGAATTTGAAACCATGAATAAGACAATTCAACATGCGAAGACAAAATATGAAAGATCCAAAAAATCAATTAAATATAAGTTTGCTTTTCCTTCTACATACATTTAATGTTATACTTTTCCTTTTGTATTTTTGAATAAGAAATATAAAATAATGTTTATACTGTACCTATATATTTTGTATTATTTCAGACGTTCAACTTTAAGATTTTTTTTACAAATTCGACTCGGAGATCAGAGTTGAGTAATTCCTTATTTAATGAGCAGCCGAAAAGATCAGTAAGTTCTCAGTAATTGACAGTATTTTTGATATTTTTGAAACAAGCAAGTGATAATTTTTTTTTCAATTTGTTTGACAAATTCGACGTTCTTGGTAGGGGTATTTGCCGTATTGGTATATTGGTATATTTACCGAGCATTTTTAATTTTTCTAAGTCAATGTTTATAGAGATATACCTACATATTTTTATAAATATTGTTTATGTTTTTCGTCAGTATAATATTAGTAAAAGTATATTATACCTATGTGAAAGTCCACAATTTAATACCCATTAATGTTTCTGTTGATTATAACCTATTACTGATGTATTATTGTTAACATAAAATTGCATAAAATTGCTAATGTTCGCAAGAAGAAACTGTTTCATTAATTGATAAGTAAACATAAAAAAAACAATTTTTATATTTTGCCTCTGATGAATAAAATGGTTTTTTAATGCAAACATTATCTATTTTTTGCTATATTATTTTAGCAATAAGTCAGTTAATTATAATTAATAATATAATTTTACCAATATTGTATTGACGTAAAATTAACGATATTGCTAATACATCACAAATTAGTACTTTCTTGAACGTTACGTTAGCAACGTTTCAATGCTACCTTGCACTGCAATGTTATTAGGCGGAAGATTAAGCTACCTTGAAACCTTGCATAAACCTCCCCACAATGAAAAAAGCAATGTTACACCTTGCTTTGCGAAGTTTTGGCAATGTTCCAGCAATAAATTTTGCTTGTTGGGTTAGAGCTTCAATAAAGATCTTTAATTTCTGTTTAGGTATCTAAACTAGCAGGACTACTCGCAAGGTATGGTGTAGAAAGAGGAGACAAAGTTTTAATTTATATGCCGCTTATTCCTCAAACTGTCATCGCTATGTTGGCTGTAGCTAGAATAGGCGCTGTTCACTCAGTAGTTTTTGGAGGTAAGTTTCCGTCCATAATAAATATTGAGTAAATTACTTTTAAGAATTTAACATTTTTTATTCTTTTAAAACCATTTTCATTAATTTAATTATAAGATGATTTTATATGGGTAAATCCACTATTTGAATCAGAAAATATAGAAACCAGATTGATATATTTTATATCTTTTATGATACTCTTTCTTATGGCTGGAAATATAAGAATGAATCATAAAAAATACAAATTAGTAATATAATTACCTACTTTTATTTGGTTTAATTCCCATTGGCTATAAATAATGTTAATAGTACACAGTACGGTTTAGATTATACAAGAAGAGTGGTATTTTACAAGGTACAATGTGATCGTAATATTTTGATTAAAGCTACTTTGTATGAAGACAACTAAAAAATTAATATAGAAATTTGGCTTAATTTTTTTAAATGTCAATGTCAAAGACCGATTAATCAAAAGAGTTGAACTTCTATATTCTTGAATAAAACATAATAGGATCAGAATAAAATGCTTTACGTATGTAATACAAATCATTACCGGAGTGAATAATGTATGTTTAAAAAAAGAAACTATGTTCGTTAATTTTTAATAACAATGAATTTAAATATGCATTACGCCACATAGAATGCGCTTATTAGCTGAAGATTATTCTGTATCTTCAAAAATGACTCATTTTTACACACTAATAAGTTGTAGATATATTTATTAACTAAATGAATAAATATTGTGCAATGAGTTTTCTATACAGGGTGTCAGAAAATAGTGTATCTAACTTCGATGGATGATTCTACAAATTAAAATAAAACAAAAAGTTCCTATGAACATATGCCCTAAAATGCTTGCCGAAGAAGTTACAGCCCTTGAAAGGTTAAATAAAAATAATATACCGGGTGCGTCTCAAAAGTGGCTCACCCTTATAACTTTTTTTTCAAATAAAAAAAACGAGATTTGGTATGTTAGTATATGACATAAGTTAGAATTGATTAACGTATTCAGTTGTTTTTGGTCACTTCCTATTTCACCGGAAATGACTAAAACCTTTTATTTTTAAATGGCACAACCGAATTTTTTTTACTTTATTTGATAGAAAATGACATTCTGAATAGAATGACATATCGTATGTCAACTTTTGACATTTTCGCTTTAAAAAAATCGTATTTTAAATTTCAATCTAGAATTCCGTGGCTGTGTTAAAAACGCTAATTTTTAATCAAGGAGCCTTGGAAAAATAGATTTGATTGATTGAATTAAAAAGTGTCGTTATGAACTGCATGTTACAATTTCAAATAAACCATATGAGAAAACGTCAAAAGTTGACATATGATATGTCATTCTATCCAGAGAGTCATTTTCTATCGAATAAAGTAGAAATATACCGAGGGTGCCATTTACAAATCAAAAGTTGTAGTCATTTCCGGTCAAACAGGAAGTGACCAAAAACAATCGAATACGTCAATCAATCCTAATTTCGGTCATATACTAACATATCAAACCTCGTTTTTTTATCTGAAAAAATAAAAAAGTTATAGGATATAGGATTGATCCACTTTTGTAACGCACCCTGTATATAATATAATTTCTGAAACAATATCTTTCTAGATTTACTTCTGAACAAAACAAATTATACAGGGTGTTTCAAAACAAATGCGAAAAACTTCCTGGGGTGATTCCTTGTTCAAAATAAAGGGTAGTTTACTTCATAAACATTGGGTCAAAAGTCAACCATTAGGGAGATATCGCGGTACAAAGATGGCGGAAAAATAATAACATTGAAAATGTTTCTGTTATCCTATATAAGGGAGCCCAAATCGAATTAAAATGCTACATTTGCCACACCATGACGTCATATATACAAGGGTATAGGAAATCTCGGCGCAGCGGCGGCAGTCGGCCAGCGCGCGCAAAAACCATTACATCGCTAATTGTTTATTGATATATCTTTATTAGTTTAAAAGCAAAAATATGGGGTTTGCTTTGATACCTTGTCAAGACATAAGCGAAACTTTTAAATTGTTTTTTTTTTTCATTTAGGCCTTCGTTTTTCGTTAAATGAAAGTTATATTAAAAAAATCTATTTTAAACCAAATTTCGCATGATTGAAATGATTACTCATGTTTAAAGTTTTTTTTGGTCAGAAGCGCTAATGGAAATGTTTTTTCGTAAATAATTATAAAAAATTACTCCCTATGAAGACTTTATTGTGTACTGGATCAAAAAATAAGTATTTGTTTTCTCTATACGGTGGTATTAATATATCGATTTTTGATGATAGTGCCCTTTTACCCGGTATAATTTTGTACTACTTAATAGGAATAAGGGTCCCCATATCATGTACTGTACTTCCATTCCTGAAAAATTCAGCTTGACACCGAAGTGAGAGGTAACGTCAAAATAAGCTTTAATCTACCTACATCATAGGTAGGTGTAGGTACTCTAGGTATATTCTACCTAGACAGTAGCTGAACTAGCTGACAGTAGTAATTAATTTGTTTAATCAATCATAAGTTAAGTTTAATCATCTTATACCTCCTATAACGGTAGGTTTTGGATTTTTCCTGATTGGTTTGTTAAACAAAAATATACTGGGCATATAAATGTCTGTTACAGGTTAATTCGTTAAAAAAAATATTGACGTAATTACTAAATAAGTACAAGATTTTTTTTCTAATTATTTTAGTGTATTTTTAGTCACCTAATTATAAAGGAGAGATATCCAACCATTGCATTATTTTACTCACAAATAAATGTTTTATGGTTTTTATTATAAAACAACGATTAATTTATTATACACCCCTTAACCCAAACACTCCAAGGAGGATATTTCGTGACCCCATATTTAAAGTGGACAAGCTTTATTATTCAATGTTTTAATTACCCAGCGTCTTTAATAAAAATCTAATGTAATTTTTCATAGAAATGATCTGACATAAAAAGCAAATTTTATCAAAAAACTTTTTGATTATCTACAAGGAGTAAACCGCTGACAAATGTCTGTATACTAATGCCAAAGTAATGCCAAAAATTCAAACTAAATACCAAAATTTCTCATATAATGCCCCACTAATGGCAAGCTGATTCCAATATAATACCACTAATACTACGAATAATATGTAACACATTTGTTTCACGCATTAACCTGTAACAATACTGGTAGGTACGTGCACAGATTTTTTCCTAGGTAACTTAAAAGTCGTTAAAAAGTCTAATTATATTTAAAGAAGATATAATTCCAACAAATTACATTATAAGGCCAATAATAACACATTTTAAAAGAAAAAAAGTTTTTGATAATATTTGTGTAGATTGACTACAAGTTGTATAACATAAATTTCTACGACCGGTCTACCTAGTGGTCTGCAGCATCGCCTTGTGGTGCAAACGTGGGCCTGTTAATCTGTGACGTGACGCACAACAATAAGAAAAACAGAAGCGTGGCTAAGAATTTAGTAATTTAAAAAAGTCTTTTAGATACAGTAGTAGGTATTAAAAAGTTTTGTGTTTAAATGGGGTTTGCCTTTAACAGTTAAAAATTATATCGTAAAGTATAACTTTCCGTAAGAATTCTTTTTTTTGCTTGCTTGTTTTACGGATAGGTGCGATCGCATAATTATTATTGATAATGTTTTATTCAATTTTAACATTACTACTTTTTCAGTGAATCTTTAAATCTGTTGTTTTTTGTTAAGTTCGTTATTTAAACATATGTATGTAATACGCTTATATTAACACTAATCATATTTTTACGTTTTTATTCATCATTTTCAATACCCCCCCGGTTGCATCTTTGTAAAGGACTGTGAATTTTTTATCTTGAAAACGAATAGAGATAGACTAATGAAATTCTATGGAAGCATTACTGTTATGAAAACACACTTTCTGGTAATTTTCTCACTTTTTTAAAATGGGTGGAAGGGGTTGAAATAAATTACACCTATCATTCTTGTTAACGAAATTTAAAGAAAAATCTTATCAAATACATGCAAAAAAAAATAATTTTGATAGTTTAGTTTGTTTAGAAATTTTTTAATCTCTTGTGTTTTTTTTTGATAAAACTGACCGATTTGAAATTAAAAAATAAAATGTAAAACATTACATGTCAGGACAAAAAACATTTTTAGATAAAGAATCTAGTGGGCTGCTGTGAAACATTTTTATTTCGTAATAATATCGTTACATTTTCTTCTGAACGATCACCTCTTAAAAATTATTTACCAAGACAATTTTTAATTCTGTATTTTAATTCATAAAAGTACAAAATAATATCGTTAAAAAAATAAAAATGTTTTTTGTCCTGACATGTAATGCTTTACATTTTATTTTTTAATTTCAAATCGGCGAGTTTTATAAAAAAACACAAGAGATAAAAAAGTTTCTAAACAAACTAAACTATCCAAATTATTTTTTTTTGCATGTGTTTGTTAAGATTTTTCTTTAAATTTCGTTAACAAGTATGATAGGGGCAGTTTATTTCAACCCCTTCCACTCATTTTAAAAAAGTGAGAAAATTATCAGAAAGTGTGTTTTCATAACAGTAATGCTTCCATAAAATTTCATTAGTCTATCTCTTTTCGTTTTCAAGATAAAAAATAAAAACATTATTTTTCCGCCATCTTTGTATCGCGATATCTCCCTAATGGTTGACTTTTGACCCAACGTTTATGAAGCAAACCACCCTTTATTTTGAACAAGGAATCACCCCCTGAAGTTTTTCGCATTTGTTTTGAAACACCTTGTAGATTAAATAATAAATAACATAAAAAAGTACAACAAATCCGAAAAATTAAAAAATAAAATTAACATGTTGTGTCAATTGGAACGTCAATCTAAACTGTCAAACATAGGAGGTAATGATGTCGATTTCTATCAGACACCTGTATTTTGTTTCTTTTGTTTCAAAGCTTCAAAATACACTAAATTATTTTGCCACAGATCATAATTATTGATAATAATTATACAGACAGCCATTAATCTTTGTGAAATATTTTCCCTCAAAAAAAAACGGAAGAAAAAGAAGCATATAGTAAATAGCATCGGGAGTAAATATTCAATTAGCGTCAAACTGAGAACGTATTCCCCCATGTCCCCGTTATCCCCCCGTTTGAGCCGAGATATATTAAGATATATCGTTGCTTTTAGGTTTCGCCGCTGCCGAACTTTGCACCAGGATAGATCATGCCGAACCGAAAATTATTATAGCTGCGAGCTGCGGGATCGAGCCCAATAAATTTGTAAGGTATATAGATAATTTTATTTGTTTTTTTTTAATACATTATCCAGAAATATTACTAGATTTTATTTGAATGAAAACTGTTATGTCGAACTTCTCTTCTGTTTATCTTTGTGCAATAGTTATTTATGTTAACTAGTGCAAAAAGGACATATTTGTTTCTCGATTTGATGCCCATTGCAACAAATATGTTTTGCGCATGTTGCACACATCAACATTTTTTCAACGATCGAATTGAAATTCTTATTTAAATGTTTATTAAAAGGTTTTTACAGTAGTTCACAGAATAATATTACCACTAACAATTAACTATACTACAAACAATAGTTATTTATGGTACTAGTGTGTTATCTTACATATAAGTCACGCTGGGAAATGTTTGGCTAATATTCTCAAGTGACTTACAGTGGTGGCCAAAAGTATGGAAACTTTTTTAATTTGTCATTTATGCTGAGAAATTAAAATATGAAATAAAACGACTTATATAATCGTGACCTACCAAATCTAATACATTTAAATTAAAAATTACAGCTATCAAAAAATATATAAAAAATTATGAATATTTTCTTGGTCAAAAGTATGGAAACTTAAGAAGAATGTTTATTAAAATTCAAGATAATATAAAAATTACTAATATTTAGTGGAATATCCCTTTTTTTATATATCCCTTTTGAATTAATTACTTCTCTACATCTTCGTGGCATCGAATCGATCAATCTCGTACAATCTTTACTGGAAATGCCCGCCCATTCAGTTGTTAGCACTTCCCATAATTCATTTTTATTTGAAATAGAATGGCTTCGAATTTTGCTATCCAAATGATCCCATAAATTTTCTATGGGGTTAAGATCCGGAGACTGTGAGGGCCAATCCATTAGTGGAACATTATGTTCATTTAACCAATTTTGAACAAACCGAGATTTGTGCTTGGGATCATTGTCTTGCTCGAACAACCATCTGAGTGGCATTTCTTCATCAGCATGAGGCAGTATATTATTCTCCAATATGTCTTTGTACAAAAAAACGGTCCATTATCCCATCAATTTTAACAAGAGAACCAACACCTGAGCGAGAAAAACACCCCCATACCATTATACTCCCACCCCCATGTTTTACTGTGGGCATCTGGCTGTACCGTGTACCTTTTGGTCTTCGAACATAACGTCTCCCGTCACTACCAAACAGTTGAAACTTGCTTTCGTCGCTAAACAGTACAGTATTCCATTTCTAATAAGACCAGGTGAGATGATCTTGAGCAAATTTAAAGCGGGCCATCCTATTATTCTTTGATATTAGTGGTTTCTTCACCGCAACTCTTCCAAAAAGTCCCATGTCATCCAACCTTCTTCTCACCGTGCGTGCAGATACCGATATTCCCCTTTCACCCATTTCTCGAGAAATGTCTGTGGATGTTTTTCTTGGATCTCCCATTGATATTCTCTTCATTACTTTCATTGTCCTGTTGCACAACTTTCTTGGTCTTCCTGACTTAAAAGCTGTTGAAACGTTCCCTGTTTTATTAAATTTACGAATTATTTTCGAAACGGTGCTTTTAAAATGTTTAAATATTTACTTATCTGAAGCAAATCGTACCGTTTATCAGCTTAAACTAAATAATTTTAATGTATTTATTTATGGTTTCCATACTTTTGGCCACAAGAAATCTATTGTTCTCCTACAAAAACTGCTAAACAGATTTTTTTCGCTGTGTAATTTTTGGAATACTTTTATTTGCTGATAAGCTGTTCATTTATATTCCTGAGAGTTTAAGCATAGCAATATTTTCTGTGATATTTTAAAAAGTAAAAAGTTTCCATACTTTTGGCCACCACTGTATATCTATACGCGAGTGCCATACAAAATTTTATCCGCAGAACGGTTTCATTTCCAGTCTCTAAAGGCGTGTTCTCACTTGTCGGTTCGCTGACGCAATCTGACTGATTCATTATCAATGAAAAATAAAAAGAACGATTGTATTCACACGTTTCATGTTTTGCTACATTCAGTATTCAGTTGGTCCAAACATTTTAACTAATTAATAGTAATTTGTTCTTATCGTTTTGATCTTGTTTTTAACATCAGCGACCGTTAACTCTGGTATCTGCATGTCATTTCAAAGTTGGACATAGGCATTCCCTCGTTCTACCCTATTTTTGTATAAGTCGTTGATGATATTCCAAAGGCACTCATATTTTCTATAATTATCCAAAAATGCATTCATGTTCATCACGCCATCGGAAAATCATTTTGAATAACGATGTGCGATGTGTTAACGCGAATTATTAATCTAACCTCAAAACTTTTAAACTGAACAAATCACGAAAATGTAGTTCTCACGCTTCAGTTTCTATTCATTATTCGATAATGATCAGTCAAAAATGAAAAGAGTAGAACTGGTTTTCACTTTAACTGAAAGTACGAATGTACTGATCATTTAACATGAAAATGTGTTCTGACGTTCATTATTTGTTCAGTATCACTGAATCAGTTGGACTGCATCAGCGAAACCGACAAGTGAGAACCAGTCTCTAAAGAATAATTGATTTAAAAGGATCTACCAGTTCTACTTTCATTGTATCAGGGTGCGTTTATGTTACTATGCAATATGAAAGAATTAAAAATATTTTGAACTTTATGAAAGACATTAATATATACAACCAACTGTGATACTCGCCTGTGATACTCTAATCTAACTGTGATACTGTGATGTAAATAATTATCTATTTTCTTGTTGTTTGTTTTTTGTATCTCTACTTTTTTTATGTTTAGTTTTTTTGATACTTTGTCACTCAACTTGAAATGTTTATGTCAATGTAGATTTTTAAATTTTGAATTGTCTTTGTAAGAGTGAACCCTTTGAGGATACTGAGATAGATCCCTGTAACTGCATTATTAACATACGAGTTGTATATGGCTAATGATCCTGGTGATCGATGCCAAGGAAGAAAAAAAAATAGCTTACATTAGACCAGTGTTTACAAGATCAAATTCGATTATCAAAATATAATTCATTTACGGCGTAGAAAGCCTTGTCTAGTAAATAAGAGTTCAATGCTTTGCGAAATGAAGAAAATGATGTTATGATGGATTTGATTTCAAATGACAGGTGATTGTGCATTTTTTTCGAGTTGTATAATATTGAACTTTTAACTAACTCTGAGCGTGGGGTAGGTAGATAAAGATATTGCTCCGCGTTCCTGAGTGGATAAGTGTGAGATGGCCTTTCTTGAGAAGCTGATACATGTTTACGTATTAGGCAAACGGATTCAAATATAAATAAGGAAGGAAGAGTCAATATTTTTAATTCTCTAAAAAAGCCCCGGCAATGAGTTCTGCTGTTTAGTCCCAGTGAATATCGAACAGCTCTCTTCTGGAGCTTGAAAATGCGGTCAAATTGAGCCGCACAACACGTACCCCAGAATGGAAGGGCATACCTGAGGTGCGACTCAAAAAGTGCATAATAAACAGTTCTAGCCACTGACAAGTTAAGCTCCTTAGAAACAGACCTTAATGCAAAACAGGCAGAGCTCAATTTTTTCGACAAAGCTTCGATATGTATGTCCCATTTCAGAGAATTGTCCACAACAAGCCCTAAGAATTTTACGGATTTTACGACGTCAATGGTGGTGTTGTCAAGTACAAAAGGCTGCAACGAGTTTTTATACGACAAAGCCTTAGTTTTAGAAATGTTGAGACTCAGGAGGTTCGAATCGCACCAAGATTTAATGGTGATTAAGTCATTTGATATAATCCTATGAAGTGCCGCGACGTCCTTGTTGCTCCAAGTGAAGCTAGTGTCGTCCGCAAAAAGACATATTTTGCCACTGATGTTTATGTTAGCAATGTCGTTAATAAGAAGAGAAAGAAAAAATAGGGCCAAGACAACGTGGTATCCACCCTCACAAGTTGCCTTCAGTTGCTCAGATACAACTTAAACCATTCGGTAGAATTCCACGGTAAATATTACTGAAGGATGGACAGAATTAATATGTTTATGAAAAATCATTAATAGCTATAGTCATTCCCATCCTAAATAATAAAGTATCATCTACATAGCGAAGCTATTAATCAACACTTTGACATAACAGTTTTCATTCAATATCCCAGAGGATTATTCTGTCATTACGTAATATGTTTCAATTTGTTCTATAGTTATATGGGAGAACTGAACCAAGCTATCGATATGTCACTTCACAAGCCCCAAAAATGCATCATTTATCAAAGAAAAGCAGTCTACAGTGCAGATCTAGATCCAGAAAGAGATATCGATTGGGAAGAAGCAATTAAAAATGTGGAGAGTGTTCCTTGTGTTCCAGTGGAAAGTAATGATCCCCTGTATATCTTATACACTTCAGGAACAACAGGTATGCAGCAAATTTATATATATAAAATAATTGTCTAAGCCTTGAGCCATTGTAAGTAAAGAACTACCGAACAATTTGTCTTAGTGGATTTTAAACCTGGTATTATTTGTTATAGAGAGTGTCCCAGAAATAAGTGCAAGTATTTTAAGGAAAAACATATTTCTCTTTATCGTTTTTCAAATAAGTCCAAAATAACGGAGTTATTTTACAAATTTAGAGAAAATTTCCAAAAAAATGATTTTTTGCTAAAATTTTGAGAACCACAGCATCTTTTCCGGATTTTCTTTCTTGTAAATTTAATCTAACACCTATGTTGCCATATTATCAAGAAACTATGTTTTTTAACTAAAAAAATCCAAAAAAATTTTCAAGAATTTTTTTTCGCGAAAAACATCTCATAGGCGTGTTTCTGCGGCTGAACTATACTACCAGTCAAAATACTTGCACTTATTTCTGGGACACCCTGTATAAACAAAAAGAAATATACGGTTTGTTTTAGTTTAATAAACAATCATATTTAGTAAACAGGATTTAATAAAATTACTATTACTATTTAAAATTTCCAATCAAATCTCAGTATCGTACTTATAAACAACACTTTGAATTCTCAAACTGAACTTAAAGTAGTCACACTGTCATTAAAATTGTAAATTATTCGGTATTTTCAATTCTAAATAGTAAAACTAGCAACACACGATAATAATGAATCAAATTTAATAATGATATCAGGTTTCTTTCAATTGTACATGGACTTTGAATGGTAATCCATATTAACAGATTTTTTTCGATATTTAAAATTCTGATTGCCACAACTATTATTAGCATTGATAATTATCTAAGCGTTTGATATATGATTTATATTTGTACTAGTTTTATTAATTGGTTCACTATTTAGAAAAAAAATTGTGTGTGCACTATGTGCGCATATTTGAAGTCGGTTTTAAATATGCGTATATTGGTTTAAGTCGTATCTGAGCAACAGAAATCAACTTGTGAGGGTGGATACCACGTTGTCTTCTAGCAAACCAATAGAATGTGGAGTATTTCAAGGCTCAGTACTAGGCCCTATTTTGTTTCTTCTTTTTATTAACGACATTGCTAACATAAACATCAGTGGTAAAATATGTCTTTTTGCGGACGACACTAGCTTCACTTGGAGCAACAAGGACGTCACGGCACTTCATAGGATTATATCAAATGACTTAATCACCATTAAATCTTGGTGCGATTCGAACCTCCTGAGTCTCAACATTTCTAAAACGAAAGCTTTGTCGTATAAAAACTCGCTGCAGCCTTTTGTACTTAACAACACCACCATTGACGTCGTAAAATCTGTAAAATTCTTAGGGCTTGTTGTAGACAATTCTCTAAAATGGGACATGCATATCGACGATTTGTCGAAAAAATTAAGCTGTGCCTGTTTTGCATTAAGATCTGTTTCTAAAGAGCTTAACTTGTCAGTGACTAGAACTGTTTATTATGCACTTTCTGAGGGTTCCAACCCCCAAATTTTTATCCAAAAATACCTATTAGTTCTATGTTCACGAATTATTAGACACCCTGTTTATTTACTTATTTTATCTCATTTTCCAGGTGAACCAAAAGGTGTACAAAGACCCACGGGTGGCCACATAGCTACACTAATTTTTACCATGAAGACGCTATACGGTTTAGGTCCAAACGATGTATGGTGGGCCACCAGTGACTTCGGATGGGTGGTCGGCCATTCTTACATGTGTTACGGACCACTGCTTTACGGAATTACGAGCCTTATTTACGAAGGAAAACCTACGAATACGCCTGATCCCAGCTCCTATTTTAGGTAAAAATGTTATAGACAAGCTACAATACCTATTCATATTAATTATCTATTGAGATCATATGAAGTTTTCTTTTTTATAAAATATTATACCCTACGATCGAAAAAAAACGGCGTCGAAGACGGCTGGGAAATGACAATCGTTGATAATTTTGGCTTGGTCAAGCCCTAGACGTCATTGCTTGGCCCGTACTCTTATTTAACTTTTAATGACACTTACACACCTTGTTTGCAATAAGAAGGTTGTAAATTATTTTTATATTGAGTTTGTGTGATTTTTAAATTATGTAGGTACTTTATTCTTTTTTAATCTTAGTGTTAATTTTTGACGAGTTTTTATGTCCATTTTAGAAAATAATCTCTAGAGATTGACCTAGCCAAAATTATCATCGATTTTCATTCTCCAGCCGTCTTGGACACCGTCTTTTTTTGATCATACGGTGCCAATATGCATTCATATTATCTTTTAACATTATACAGGGTGGTGCAAACTGTATTCCAGAAACTTCGGCAGCATATTCTGCAGATAAGAATCAGTAAAAAAGTTCGTATAAAAGGGTGATCTAAAATGCGTAGTTTCGGAGATACAGGGTGTAGAAATTTCATTTTTATTTCGATTTTTTCGAAATAATTTATGAAATAACGTAAATATTTGGATGAAAATTGGCGTTTTTGGAGTATGGTTAATAATACAAACTATCATTATTTCGGTTTGTTCTATCGACACCTGCAGTTATTCTAGTAAAATCTGAATCACCCTGTCTTCACTCAGTGCTTTTATACAGGTACTGACGAAAAGTTATTAGTCTTCAAAACAGTTAAAACACATGTAGGTGGCGCCCCTACAAATGGTAGTCATATTGACATCAAAATCAAATTTCTCATGTCAAAAAACTCCCAGACACCAACTTTCATCCAAAATGTTGACGTTACTTCAGAAATTATTTGGAAAAATCGAAATAAAAATGAAACTTCTACACCCTGTATTTCCGAAACTAAGCGTTTTAGGCATACATTTATAGGAGCTTTTTTACTTATTTTTATTTAAATAAATTTTAAATAAATATTTTTGTTATAAAAATAAAAACCTACTTATGCCAGTAAATAAATGTTCTTTCAGAATAATCAACGCCTATAAAGTTAACGGAGTATTCACTGTGCCAACTGTATTAAGAATACTAAAAGAAGTCGACCCTGAAGCAAAATACGGTGCCGAATACGACATATCCTCCTTGAAACATATGTGGATCGCTGGAGAACACATGGACATGTCTTCAACTATGTGGGCGGAGAAAATCTTCAACGTCCCCGTGTTGAATCACTGGTGGCAAACTGAAACTGGATCGGCTATATCAGCAATATGCGCTGGATTGACCAACCCCTGTACTAACGTAGGATTAAGTGCTGGATTGCCTTTTCCAGGATACAATGGTAATTTTATATATGGAGACCGAAGTAGTGTCCCAAAAAAACACATAAGCACATTAAAGATACTTTTTTAATCGTGACCGACTCACTGATTAATTAGGATCCTGCTCAAACCACTCAACGTAAGAAGCTCAATTTTGGCATACAGGTTGATTCTAGGGTGTAGAGATGCGATAAGAAGGGATTTTTCGATATTCCAGTTTCAAGGGGGTGAAACCACCCCTCAAATATTACAATATTTTTTACTTAAAAAACGGTCAAGTTTCCGAAAAAACGCTTAAACACGTTTATTTTATTTTGTTTTTTACATATTTTAAGATTTTTTAAAAATGTATACAGGGTGTTTCGAAAAATCTGGTCATTCATCACGATCCTGCTTAAAGCGCTTGATGTAAAAAGCTGATTTTTGGAAAGCGGATTGACTTTAGGGTGTAGAGGTTCGATAAAAAGGGATCTTCCGAAACTCGAATTCTAAGGGGGTGAAACCACCCCTCAAATATTAGAATATTTTTTATTTAAAAACCGGTGAGTTTTATTTTGCTGTTTTACATATTTTAAGATTTTTTAAAAATTTATACAGGGTGTTTCATAAAACATGACCATTGAGTAATCACGATTCTGCTTAAACTGCTTGACGTTTAAAGCTGATTTTTGGCAAACGGATTGACTGTGGGGTGCAGAGGTTCTAACCTCAAATTCCAAGAGGGTGAAAACGCCCCTCGAATATTACAATATTTGTTATTTAAAAAACGGTTAGTCGGGAAAAGGCTTGGACACACATAATTTATTTTGTTTTTTTACATATTTTGAAATTTTTTAAAGTCATACAGGGTGTTTCAAAAAGTTGGGTAATTGATAAACCACGATTCTGCTTAAACTGATTGACGTAAAAAGCTTATTTTTGGTAAACGGATTTTTCGAAAGTCAAATTCCAACGAGATGAAACTACTCCTCAAATATTACCTATCGCCATATTCTTTTTTCTCATGCTGATATAAATGTGAGTAAATTTTATCCAGTTTGTATGTTGATGGAAATTCTTGCTTTGCTTTATCATCACCATTACAAACGATTAATTCGACGCGAACGAAGTCGCGGGTACACGCTAGTATAAATATAAAGGTAATATAAAAAGTAGTAATTATTATCATACTGTTTTTTTAGTTCAGGTCTTATTGAAAGATGGAAGTTTAGCAGATGTTAAGGAACTAGGACGGATCGTTGTGAAGCTACCTTTACCTCCAGGAGCCATGTCCACACTCTACAAGGCAGACGAAAAGTTCGTCAAAACATATTTCACCAAGTACTCGGTAAGACTAAATTGTGTTAATAAGACGTACACTATATCTATATTGTTACTTCTTTATAATTAAGCACAACGATAAGTAAATCAACTTTTTTAACACTGACTCGGACACCTTTAAAGTATTTTAATGTTCAATATACAGGGTGGCCCGACTTCAGCAGCACATTCGCTGATAAAAATAAGTTTCAGAGATACAGTATGTAGAAGTTTCATTTTTATTTCGATTTTTTCCAAATAATTTCTGAAATAACGTAAAATATTTGGATGAAAATTGGTGTCTTGGTATTTTTTAACATAATAAATTTGATTTGATGAATCACGACCTCATTATAATGATCCACCGAGGGGTAAACACCTGACCAAAATGTGTACACCAGAAATCCACTTTTGATAAATAAATCCAAGGAAATCCACAGAAATCCAAAGAAATCTGAAGAAATCCACAGATATCCAAGGAAATCTACAGAAATCTAAAGAAATCCACAGAAATCCAAGGAAATCCAGAGAAATCCACCGAAATCCAATGAAATCCACAGAAATCTACGGAAATCCATAGACATCCATGGAAATCCACAGAAATCCACAGACATCCATGGAAATCCACGGAAATCCATATAGGTGTACACCAGAAATCCACAGGTGTTTACCCCTCGTGATCCACTGAAAACATTTATTTTTCACATCTCGAATTTCGGTTTCCAAAAAAAAATATATTTATCATGTTTCGTGTTTTGCTAAAGGGGGTTAAAAGGGAGAAAATATTCCCTAAATAAATGGTCTTTTGTAACATAGTTTCTTCAGGGTTTTTATGATACTATGGATGCCGGATATATAGACGAAAATGGATTAGTTTATATAACAGCAAGGGCAGACGATATCATCAACGTAGCCGGTCACAGATTATCAACCTTGGCCATAGAAGATATAGTACTATCTCATCCAGACATTAGTAACGCATGCGTGGTATCAGTTCCAGACAGAATTAAGAGCGAAGTACCATTGTGTTTATTCATCATGAGAGAAGGTAATCACAGAAATAATTACTTAGTAATAGTTACTTTAACAGCGAGGATAGGTTAAAAACTTTATTTCTTCTCGCACGTTTTTTAATAGCTTCCATTTTTGAAAATTTTTGTATTCCTTTTCATAAGTTATTCGGGATTTAAACGGAAGTAGTTTGGATATGGCGTGTGTCGCCTCAGCCTGAATATCTGTTGGTAATTTACTTATTTCGTTTTGAGCCATTTCCGGCTCCAATTCAATCAGCAATCGACACGAAAGAGAATTAAAAAATATTGACTCAAAACCATAGACAAACAAATAAAAAGAGACTGACAAATCCCGTGGTAAAGAGTGGGACCGCGTTCCCGTAGCGCAACCATAGATAAAAGAAAATAATCTTCTATTAAGATAGATATGAAACTTAATAGAAAAATTTTGGGTCAAAGCGCCCCTCCGTGTTCTTAGTAGAGACTACGTTTAACCTAGCGCCTTCACCTTTTCTGCTGTAAATATTTTTTATGTTTATATTTGATTTCAAAGGGTTTAGTTTTAAAGTTACACTGATATATTAGTATATCAGAGTAACTTTAATAAAACATAAGAATATATATATTTTACAGTTTATTAAATATAAATTTTGACTACAAGGTAGAAAGTAGATCACAATATTTGATAAAACTTATAAGTATACCATTTTTACAGTTAATAAATAATAAAACTATTTCTGACTATGATATTTAAAATTTAGACAGATAGAATATTAAAAAACATACTGGTATTTGCAGACGCAGGCCCAAATTCAATAAAAACCAAAATTTTTCCTGCGAAAATCGGGTTTTTTCACAGAAAAGGTATTTTTTGATTTATCAACAATCATTGTCAAGTTGACAATATACAGGGTGTTTTCTAATTAGTCTAAAAAATTGTGGTGTGATTCCTCATGTGTTCTTAAAACAATTTTTATATAACCATTGGGTCTAAAGTACTTCCTTTCTGATCTACAGGGTGTTAAAAATTTAAAAAAAAATCGATATTTTGCTTAACATAAATGGTACACTACTGATTTTTTAAAGAAAATATATTTTTGTCTTGACTGGCCATCTTTTTTCAACAAAATTGATCTTTTGTGTTTTTCTGGTTCATCAAACGGTTGCCGAGAAAAAAATAAATATACTTAGGCCGTTTTCTAACGATTTTTTATTTTTTAGATTAATTAGGAAAAACCCTGTATATGCATATCACAGGCAACCAAATAAACTAGTAACCTCTAAAAATTATTTTTCCTACCACTAGCGACATACCGTGTTTTTAGTGAGTACTAAATTATTTTATCAAAATTTCACCATATAAGTTTCCAGGCAATGAGCGCAACTCAGAATAACAATTTTGAAACCAATTAGCAGGACCATGGCAGGACGTACGTCTTTATTGCTATCTTTCTTTATTATGTGTGCTTTATATGAAAAAGAAAGAGATAGGTATAAAACGTATCGTAAGACATTGTCGCACATTCTGGCTGGCCGAAAATTTAAATTAGCCATTATTAATAGTATCGTATTCTTTGATTCTGAAACTGAAAATTTTCTCTTAAACTAATTTATCCCCTATACCACGTAAAGGGAACGTGGTGTAGGGAATAAATCAGTTTCAGTGAAAATTTGCAGTTTTTTTCAGAACGAAAGTATACTACTATTATAAATGGAAATATAAAAAAAGCAAAAATTGTATTGTTTTATAAACATATTTATTTATACATAAAAATAAATAAACTTTTTATAATATAATAACAAAAAATAACAGTGTTTATTCCACCCACCTACCAATTTTAAATGCAGCAGAACTGACTGTTCCAGGAAACGATCGGCCAATTTTTTTAAAGGGCATTAAAAATCTCATTTTCGAAAAAACTGCCTAATTGCAATAACAATGTGAATATCCAAGCAAAGAAGACTTTACGAGAATCATGACCCTGACCCATTTTCAAGTCCAGTTTTTACCCAAAAAATGAGAAAAATTAATTGTATTAATTTGTTATGTTAAGATAGGTTCGAAATATTTTTGACACTACTACTTCTACTTTTTTCTTAATAAGATGATAAATATAACTACTTACTTTTATTTTACCGGGTGTCTTTAACATCTATCAGAGAAAGGCGGTACCATTGCATGAGAAAATAGATGATACTGGCTCTTGCAGCAAATAAAATAACAAATAGTTTAACCTAAAATTATAAGTAACAAAATATAAATACCTATATGAAACAAAGGAATTTGTTCCCTATCCATATTCATAAGTCAACAAAATGGAGAGTTTAGAAAAAAAGGTAAATCACGAAAAGAAAAATTAACAAACATGACGAATTCTCATGATGTTGTCATCTTGGTTGTCATGATGACGAAAACGAAAGGCGATTGTTCTAATTTCTATTTAGAAATTACGTTTTATATGGCTGCTTCTTTCTCTCTTGTTATATTAGAATGAGATAGTGGACCCAATAGACGCAATGCGCAGATCAACATAAATAGAACGAAATTTTGCGTTCTGAGTTGCGCTACGGCAACGTTGTCCCTCTCTTTGCCATTTAATTTGCCAGTCTCTTTTTATTTGTTTGTCTATGCCATAGACAAACTAACAAAAGGAAGACTTTTCAAAGGATTGAGGAAGTCGAATTAATTGTTTTTGCGCTGGCCAGTTGAGTCAGAAATCATTTTATAGTCGACTCTCGTCAAACCATAACCTAAATGTAAAAAAAAACGTTTTTTCCTTGAACCATCCTTGAACGAACTGTTGAATTCGATTTTGCGTTTTGTTTGGTTATTACTATTATTTTATTAGCGTACAAAACGAAAAACAAATAATTTAATACATTTTACATTTATGAAGAACATAATAATTACTGTGATTATACATATTATTGTGATTACATCGCTAACGTAGACAAAACGAAGGGTCCTACAAATTGACTGTAAGTTATAAGAATCTTTATCTTTTTAATCTTTTATGATTTGAATTTTCGTGCTTTATATTTTATAATAGACTCGAAATGTTAATATTTTTGCAAATTCTTGTGAAAATGTGAAGTTTATGTTTTTGTTTTATATTTGAAAAAATTGTATATTTTTAAGATGTTTCTTGTTGTTCCTATTATTAATATTATAATATACATAATTATTTTTTGTACCTTTTGAAGAATAATGCTTTTATTTCGTTTACCATAACTGTTGTTTTTTATCATCTTTTTTGTTATTTTAATAAGAGGAATACGTTTTCGTTTATTTAACTTTTGTTTTTATATCTGTTATGTCCAGAAATTATTGTTTATTTTACCGATGGAAATAAATTTATTTGATTTTAATAAACGCTTTTAATTAAACATCCTTGTCTAAAAGGCTACTACAAAATACACAATCCATAAGTAAACCGTCCTCGTCTAAAAGGCCAGTTGACGCAAGCGCGGTAATAAACTCTTATCAAACTTGTTACCGTTTTGCAGTACAGCGTTGACGCGTCTTGCTTTTGTTAGTTTGTCTATGGTCTATGCTCAAAACTGACAATTAAAGAGACAGCTTTATTTATTTGTCAAATTACATAGAAACCAACGCCAACCCAACACAATATTTTTTCTACTCGTAAATAAATTCCTTGAAATAATAATTTCTGAATATTTTTTAAACGTAACTCGCTATGAAAAAAAATATTGTTTTATACACAACGATAAAATTGCATTATCGTCTTGTATAAAAAATAACTATTTTTCTTTGATGTTAGTAAATCAATCTATTTTCATTTTTTGGCCTCTAACAGAAAAAAATTTTGGTTTTTATAACAACACTTAATAAATTTCATTCTGCTTTCATACTAATAAAGGAAATAGTGTCTTGAAATACAATTTGTGTAAATGTTTTTGCAACTCAAAAGACCCAATCAATCTGTGTAATTTTATATGAATTCCAGATGCAGCGTTAAATGAATATATGATAGCTCAAGAGTTAGTAGCAATGGTCAGGGAAAACATGGGTGCGGTGGCATCGTTCAGGTTGGCTGCAGCAGTCAGAGGTCTTCCAACGACAAGATCTGGAAAAATATGCCGAAAATCGATATCCGACTTGGCTAGAAACAAGTTAAAGAAGGTAGATTTTTAATAAACCGATTTTTATTTACATAATGATTAATAACAAGAATATACCTTGTGGAAACTACACTCACAGGCACGAAAAACGGCCACCTTAAAATTTTCATGTATTTTAAACTTTTAAACCCTAACCTAACCTACAGTAAGATTAGCCATGAAACATGGCTAAAATACGACTACGATATGTTTCATGGCTAATCTTACTGTAGGTTTGTTCAATAATTTCATTCTTCTTTTTTATTATAGTCCCCACGATAACATCTTTTGTCTTAAAGTTATATATATTTTGTTCTAGTGGACCGATTTTGATGATTTTTTAAGAAATTTATAGCTAAATTATGTGGCTTTTTAGTAACTGGTTCTAAAATAAAAATTATGTTTTCTTCCGTCAATTATACGAGGGAAAACAAAATGTTGATATTTTGGTAAACGTTTGAAACACCCTGTGGAGTAAGTTAGCAATGCAAGGAATTTAAAACTCATCATCAGATAGTTTGTTTTCTGATTCATCTCAATTGTCTTTATTTTTATTGGAGATGTTCGCTTTTAAATAGAACAGTAACGATCTACAGCAATGTTTGCATTGATTTTGGGTCCTCATCAACACAGTTATAAAATAGTGTTTACACTGTGTAATATCACTGTCATTGAAAAGTCATATATAATTATTGCTTACTCTAGCAGAGATAGTTTTAAGTACAAGCAATTGTGAGAGTATCACGCTTGCCAATACTCTTCTTTTTGATGCTCTTGGACCGCCCAATCTAGGCATCAGTTTATCCACAGCTGCAAACGTTTTGTCTGCTTTTCCAATAGCCTTGTGTAGATGAGCAGCAAAGGTTGATTTTGAATCCAACCATATACCGAGATATCTAAGAACATTTTGAAAACACGAGAGATGCGTACAACTTATCTTAGATAGGAACTATCGGAAACAAGAAATAGCAATCTTATCTGATAGTCAAGCAGCGTTAAAGGCGATCAACTCAGTATCAATCAATTCGAAATTGGTCAAAGAATGCATAGAGAAGCTGAATAAATTATAAAAGTGAAACTTCTACACCCTGTATCTCCGAAACTAAGCATTTTAGGGCATACATTTATACAAACTTACTTATTTTTATCTGTAGAATATACTGCTGAAGTTTCCGGGATACAATTCGGACCGCCCTGTATATTTCAATTCCAATCTCAAAGATTTCTCAAAATTTGATTTGATACAATTTTTCATTTTTATTATTTCAGATTCCTGGAACTGTGCTTGATCCCACGGTTTATAAAGAAATCGAGGAAGCTTTAAGAAAACTGGGATTTTGCTCAGCGTGATTCCCTGGTCTTCCTTAATTATAATTTAAAACATATTTAAATTCCTACTTTTAAATATTTCCAGTGCTCAGATTAACATACAAAAATACCATATGCAAAACATTATCAATTGTAAAATATGTGATATTTCTGAAATAAAATATACTTAGAGAGTAAATCAAAAAAGTAACTGGAAAAACATTTACCTCCCACACATCAACCAAGTCTATTTATAAACATGTAAAATGAATAAACAAAATTACTATAGTCTGTGAAACGAATAACTTTGAATTTGACAGTTCCCGCGGGCTTTTCTAGTGTTAATTTTATTAGGTTAGCAACTTGCGGCCATGCTGATGCAATGCCGTCTCTAATAGAACAGCCTCGGATCGAGATTTATGACGTCACGCTAGTTAGATACTACGGATTAATTATGTTGTAGAATACATGGAAAACATAATTATTCCTTGTATATGTAATTTTTTGGATTATATTCGACACTATTTTTTTCATATGACACAACACTGATGAAGGCTATAAACGTTAACTATAACGTTTTTTTTAAACCAAAAAAATAATGAAAAACCAAATGAAAACTTAATCAGCGTTTTTCCCGAACCTAAATCCCAAGAAAATCAAAAAATTTAAAATCGCTGACGCCTTTTTTTCTATGATATTGTATTATTTGCAAATATAATTTTTCGAACATTGATGCTTGCAAAATATACATATAAATTTTGTGAATGCAAATAATAATACATCACTATTAGTAGATATTGAAAGTTTTTTGTTAAATTAGATCGATTTTCAAACCCCAAAATTTAAAATATATTTTACATTTTACCTATTACCTTATGTACCGATTCATTATTTGTATATTGTAAAACATTTGATGCATTTGTATGGTTCATAGGTTATTTGCCAAAGTTATTTATTACTATAAATAGGTATATAAATATATTGTATTTATTAACTGTATATTATGTATATTTCATGTAAACTATATCATTTTTAAAATACAAACTAAAAATACGAGGAATAATTATGTTTTCCGTGAATTCTACAAGATATTTATTAATCCGTGGTATCTAATTAGCGTGACGTCATAAATCTCGCTCCGAGGCTGTTCTATTAGAGACGGCATTGGTCTGATATTTAGAAATGTCAAAGGCTGATGACATTTTACTTTTGTCAATTATGACATTTTGCGTTGATTCTTGTAAGAAGAGGAAGAACTGTCACCTGTTTTATTATTTTTCTTTTCTATTTCACGAAAGTAAAAAGAGTTACCTATCTGATTCGTTCAGGCACTCATTTTAAAGAATATCAGTAAATTTTTGGATAGAGGGCTTTTATATTTGCCATGTTGGTAAAAAATAACGGTCAAAATTCAAAGTTATTCATTTTATATACTATAACTATAATTGCCTATTTACCTACCCGTTAAAATTAAAATATACAGGTTGCATTTCAAATAAGTGCAAATATTTTCAGTGTTTGATTCTGAAAAAAAATACCTACATAAACCTTTCAAAATAACACCTAATTCATTTTTTTAGTCCCAAGAGAGATGTAAATTCTCATACTTCATTTATTATTAATATACATATTATTTATATATTAGAATTACCCACATCTAATTACTGTAGAAGAAAAAAAATTGACTAAATAACAATGTTGGCAATTACATCCCACATGTATTTTTTCAATCTCCTCTATATCTACGTATATATCTACATTTATTTATTAATTCTAGCTATTATGTTTATTCTTTTCTATATTATTCATACAATAACCAGTTTGTTTACTATATATAATCAATTTTAATGAATCATATATTTATATGAATTGATTCTTGTAAAAACGCGGTAAATTTATGTAAGTTTTAGGACCCCCCAAATATATCAAAAGATGTTTAGCCGATATACAGGGTGTCCCAGAAATAAGTGCAAGTATATTAAGTGGTAGTGTAGTTCAACCTCAGAAACACGCCTATGAGGTTTTTTTCGCGGAAAAAAAAATTTGAAAATACGAAATTTTTTGAAAAATGTTTAAGAATTTTTTTTTTGTTTTTAGTTAAAAACCCTAATTTCTGGATAATATGGCAACAACATAGGTATTAGATTAAATTTACAAGAAAGAGAATCTAGAAAAGATCCAGTGGTTCTCAAAATTTTAGCAAAAAATCATTTTTTGGAAATTTTCAATATAAGGTAACTTTGAAAAACGATAAAGAGAAAGTATGTTTCTTTTATCGAGATCTCCCACCCCTTAAAATAATTGCACTTATTTCTGGAACACCCTGTATATGTAATTAAAAGTTAATTTAAACTATATATACAGGGTGTTTCTCGTTTATTAACGAGAAACACCCTCGTTAACTCAGTTGCCTAAATAGATTTTCGGTCGGAGCTGTCGTTCTTGAAATATTAAATAATACCTTTATATACAGGGTTGTTCACCACATACGACACGGAGTATTGTAGCTAAACGATTAAATTTTTACAAATTGTAAGTTTTGGGTTCGTTGAAGGACTATTAGAGTTACAATTTAAAAATGTTTTTACAAGATGCAGAGTGTCCCAAATAAATAATAAATATCAAAGTTGTATTTTTTTAAATGGAACATATGTATATTATTACATTTTTAGTTTCTACGATTAAAATAAAGGTAAATTTGATAAAGGTTTATTACACTTAAACCTTACCGTTTGGGAAATATTTTCAATTTTGTGAAATTGCAGTCAAAATTTTAAGGCTTCATTTCTCCAAGGGTATCACAGTTTTTAATACTAAATATTTACTGAAGTTTATTTATTGATCAGTTATTGTGTTGTAATAATAAAAATTATACTACCTTATACAGAGTGTCTAAAATTTTATTTTAAATAATTACTAGCTTTAAACGGCAATAACTTGTTTAATTTAAATGGAACACCCTGTATATTTTATGAGAATCAGATGCACAATTTAATTGTCTATTAAATTGTATTATATACATTTTTTCCTATAGCTTCAAGTTTCCGTAGAAAATGCATTTTCTTGTAATTTTAAATTCATTTATCAATATATCCATGGAAGACTGACATTTTAGATTATTTTTAAAGGTGTACCAAATTTTTAAAGAGTACAGATACTAATATTCTCGATATACTTTGTTTATTTCATTAAAAAATAAATAAAACTGTTTAAATATTTGTTAAAAAGGACTAATTAAAATGATTTCAGTATTCAAACTACATTAATTGACTGTTTGCGTTGATTAATAATAATTGCTCCAAAAACTAAAAAACTGAATTTTTTATGTGTATTAGACAGTGTGGTAAAAAGTACACACACCTTAAAAATGATATTTCATTTTTTGACAAATGCTTATTTGTAACAACAAAGACATTCATTTTATAACTTATTATTATATTGATTTCTGATTCAAATCCACATTTATTTTGAATAATTTATTCACGAACATAATTAAGTATATAATTAATTAATATTTGGGTGGAAATAATGGTGGTATATTTAATTAATGGTATACTTTTTTATGAAGATTTAAATAGTTTTCTTTTTGCATACAAATGGGCTAGCAATATTATTATTTTGTTAAAAACAATAATATTACTAGCCTGTACATTTTGTACATTTGTTGCTTTAAAAACAATCTAAAATGTCAATATTCCATGGGTATATTGATAAATGAGCTCTAAATTACAAGAAAATGCATTTTCTACGAAAACTTGAAGGGATAGGTAAAAAGTGGTATAATACAATTTGATAGACAATTAAATTATGCATCTAATTCTCCGAAAATATACAGGGCGTTCCATTTAAATTAAACAAGTTATTGCCGTTTAAAGCTAGTAATTATTTAAAATAAAATTTTAGACACTCTGTATAAGGTAGTATATTTTTTTTTTATTGCAACACAATAACTGATCAATAAATAAACTTCGGTAAATATTTAGTATTAAAAACTTTGATACCCTTGGAGAAATGAAGCCTAAAAATTTTTACTGCAATTTCACAAAATTGAAAATATTTCAAAGGTTTAAGTGTGATTAACCATAATAAAATTTACCTTTATTTCAATCGTAGAATCTAAAAATAGAATAATATACAGGGTGTTCCATTTAAAAAAATACAACTATAGCATTTTTTACTTATTTGGGACACTCTGTATCATCTAAAATTATTTCTAAATTGTAGCTCTAATAGTGCTTCAACGAACCCAAAACTTAAAATTTGTAAAAATCTAATCATTTAGCTGCAATACTCCGTGTCGTATGTGGTGAACAACCCTGTATATATTTTACCTTATATGAAAATAAGTGAAGAGTGGAAATACCAAAAGGGGTAAGTCCCAAATTTTTCAATATTAAGTTATTAAATTGGAAACGTAATAAATACTATGTATGCTGTATGTCCTAACAATCCTAACAAAAGTTACAAGTGCCAAGCGAAAGCGTCTATTGTTTATGTATATTATATGTATTTTAACTGTTTTTTTTTTTATTTACAGTTTATAATCATCTGTTGATGATGCTAACATGGTTAACGAAACGCGCGTCCAGTGTAAAAGTAAAAGTGTTTTGGTGTATTGTGGTGATTTAGTGTTTTTATTTTGCTGTGTAACACCAAAGGTTCCAACCCGCAACTGTAATTTTTTAAAAGATATTTTAAAAATTTATTAGTTTTAGTTCTACTGTGTTTTCCTCATTTATCTCGAAAAAATAATTTTGGCACTTACCCCCTTTGGTATGGTTTGGTCCACTCTTCAAGTATAGAATATTATATTGTTAGGAATCCCATAATAATACAAATAAAATAAAAAATAATATACAGGGTATGCCATTTAAGAAGATATAAGTTTGCGTCATGTTTCTAAATTTTCAGAACCACTGATATTTTCTGGGTTTTCTTTCTTGTAAATTTAATTTACTACCTATGTTGCCATATTATTAAGTAATTGTATTTTTTAAACAAAAACTAAAACAATTTCCAAAAATATATTCAAAAACGTATTTCGTAGTAAACGTAGTTCAAAAAAAAATCATAGACGTGTCTATGAACTTATTTAAGACTCATCCTGTATAAAACTCTTTATACTTTATACACTTGTTTCCAATATCCACACACTACTAAGAAATCTAAAGTAAAATAAATCAATCAAACGTTAAGAAAAAATAAATACTACTCTTACATTAATAAAAACATAATTAGTCATTCAAGCAATGTGTGCTACTAAAACGTGTTCGGTGCCACGTGACTCACGCTTGACTTTTTCCAGCGGCTTTTCCGCGAAACGAGATGAAGAAATTGGGACGGTGAATCGTGAATTCCCACAGCTATCCGAAAAAAAAACATATTAAATAAATAAATAAACTTACAACTGTCAAAGCAAACAGAAAACCGCATCTTCAGTACTTAACTGGCCAAGGATAAGGTCAGACCTCACCATCACCTTTCTTCTAAAATTACCAGTTTTTCACTTTGTTCTTTGTTCATAATGGCGTTGAGGCAGTGTGCTTTTCTGTGTATATTTATAGTGGCATGTAACTCTGTACCAGTGAGCAACAAATACAGTAAAGTTATTCCATCTGACAAAACGGTAAATATGCATTAATTTATCCTTATAAAATGATTTCAGAAAAAAAACATTATCAAAGCATGACATATTATACCTACCTATGCTTAAAATATATTGAGAAGATATACCGGGTGCGTCTTAAAAGTGGCTCATCCCTATAACTTTTAAATTTTTCAGATAAACAAACGAGATTTGGTATGTTAGTATATGACATAAATTAGGATTGATTGACGTATTCAATTGTTTTTGGTCACTTCCTGTTTCACCGGAAATGACTACAACTTTTGATTTTTAAATAGCACCCCTGGTATATTTTTACTTTATTCGATAGAAAATGACGCTCTGAATAGAATAACGTATCATATATCAACTTTTGACATTTTCGCTAAAAAATCGTATTTTAAATTTCAATCTAGCTATGTTACAAACACTAATTTTTAATCAAGGAGCCTTGGAAAAATAGATTTGATCGTCTAATGTTTTTCGTGTCTTGTCCTGGCCGGTTAAAACATGTCCAAATTGTATTTTTAATCATATCTCAATTTTTTCAAATGGAACAATGGTGGCGCATTAGCATATTTGGAAAAGCATTTTTTTACGAATAATTTGGTACAACACACTAAGAACAGTTAGCTAATAGGAACTGCTCATTCAGCCAAAAGTGTCCGCCAGGTGCATGCAAAAACTACTCGCTTTGTGACGTCATTGTAGTCCTTGTCATGGTTATTAGTGCTTATCCGGCAACCAATAATACACACACGTGCACTATTGGTTGCCGAATGCAAAACGTTCATTATTTAGTTTATTTATTTAACCACCTTATATGTCTGCAGTATAGAAAATTAACTGTATAAATCGTATTAAATACTCGGATAATGCTTTTTTAAGAACAGCAGTTCCCAGCATCACCTTTTGCAAGCATTCTTTTTAGAGTACTTCCATATTGTGCTGTAAAATAATTAATAAACAAAATCGTGGGCACTTTGTCACAATCCACAACACAAAATGAACGTATTTATACACTCTATAGCTCTAAAAACTTTAAAGACACCTTTTTCACATTTAAAATTGACAAAATAATTAACTCAAAATTTTTCAGCTGTTATTTTTATAAGTTTACCATAGGCAACTAATAATACACACTATCATGACAAGGCCACACAAGGCTTTGACAAGGACTACAATGACGTCACAACTGTCAGCTGAAGCGCGGGAAGAGGAGAACGTACGTCTTATGAGCAGGGTTCGGAAAACTACATATTACTTTTAAAAACTACATAAACTACATTACATTTAGTTAATGTAGTTTATGTAGAGGGTGTAGTTTATGTAACATATGTATGTAACTTTCAAATGTCAAAGGTTTGAGGTGAGGTTATAATAAGTTGAAGCTTTAGAAAACATATAATGTATTTAAGAAAACAGAAGAAATATGGCTTTAAATATAACCATTCACATTATATTATTTAGACTCCTCATACAAAGCAAATTTATTCATAATATCAATAGGTAGTTTATTAACGTAATTTTCATGTAGTTAATGGACGGGAAAAGACGTAGTTTTTGAAGAAAAACTACACGTAGTTAATCAGGTAACCTACTTCTTAATTAACTACTTCCGAGCCCTGCTTATGAGGATGAGCAATCCTATTACTTTACCGTTCTTGACCACACACTTGGTATTTCGAGTCAAATTGTCGTTATGAACCGCATGTTACAATTTCAAATAAACCGTATGCGAAAATGTCAAAAATTGACATATGATATGTCATTCTATTCAGAGTACCATTTTCTATCGAATAAAGTAAAAAAATACCGAAGGTGCCATTTAAAAATCAATAGTTGTAGTCATTTCCGGTGAAACAGGAAGTGACTGAAAACAATTGAATTCGTCAACCAATCCTAATTTATGTCATATATTAACATACCAAATCTCATTTTTTTATCTGAAAAAAATAAAAAAGTTATAGGAGTCAGCCACTTTTGAAAAGCACCCTGTATATCCCACTAAATATCTCTGAAAACCCTGTACATACACTGCAAAAAATGTCTAAAAGTTTATTGAAAATAAAATTTTTAAAAATACCCTGATTAAACTAAAGTAATTGAAAAGACGGTTTATGCAAGCATAGACAATGCTTTGAATCGGAAGAAAATATCCATTATACAGGGTGAATCTTAAATAAGTGCAAATATTTTTAGGGGTAGTATATTTCGATCCCAGAGACACGATTATGAGGTATTTTTGCGAAAAAAAAAATTTGGAAAATTTGGAGTTTTGAAAAAAAATTTGGAATTTATTTTAGTTTTTATTTCAAAAACATAATTAGTAGATTAAATTTACAAGAAATAAAATCCATGAAAGATCCAGTGGTTGGTTCTCAAGATTTTAGCAAAAAATCATTTTTTTTGCAAATTTTAGAAGAAAAATAACTCGGTTATTTTGGATTTAGTTGAAAAACGGTAAAGAGAAAATACCGAGTGCGTCTCAAAAGTGGCTCACCCCTATAACTTTGTTCATTTTTCAGTTAAAAAAACGAAATTTGGTGTGTTTTAGTATATGACTATGATGAATTAGAATTGATTAAAGGCGGGTTCTCACTTGTCAGTTTCGCTGACGCAGTCTGACTGATTCATTATCAATGAAAAATAAAAATCAACGATTGTATTCACACGTTTCATGTTTTGCTACATTCAGTATTCAGTTGGTCCAAACATTTTAACGTGGTGATTTCGCAGACATGAAAATGGTTAAAACAAAAATGAAACCAGGTGTTCGCAAAGTTTGTTTACAATTAGCAAACGAATTACAGAATATTCTGGTGAATCAGAAAAGAAGAAAACGTTTTTTTTTAAAGCAGATACGTCTACAAGAAACCGTTGACGTTCTATTTTAACAGAACGTCAACGGTTTCTTGTAGACGTATCTGCTTAAAAAAAAAGCGTGTTCTCATAATAGTTTGAATTTAAATATTTTAAAGAGTTTTTTTTTCTTTATTCTTTGAATTTTTTTTGCTTCCGACGATAGACTTTCCGAAACGTTAAGCATTTTTTTCTTTGTTAAGCCAATTTGTATAACTGTAAACATAACTTCTGACAAGCAGTGTCCGTTTAGGTTTAACGCCCAGAAGTGTTTACAAAAAATAACTATTTTATTTTGTAGATTTTCTTGCAGTGCAGTGGCGAAATACCCATAAAGGATTTTTTGGAGATATATATTAAAATAATTAATTAACTTTAACTTGTAAACTGAACAAATCACGAAAATGTAGTTCTCATGCTTCAGTTTCTATTCATTATTCGATAATGATCAGTCAAAAATGAAAAAAGTAGAACTGGTTTACACTTTAACTGAAAGTACGAATTTACTGATCATTTAACATGAAAATGTGTTCTGACGTTCATTATTTGTTCAGTATCACTGAATCAGTCAGACTGCGTCAGCGAAACTGACAAGTGAGAACCCGCCTTAACGTATTCAATTGTTTTCGGTCACTTCCTGTTTCACCGGAAATGACGTCAACTTTTCATTTTTAAATGGCACCCTCGGTATTTTTTTACTTCATTCCGAAAAAAATAACACTCTGAATAGAATGACTTATCATATATGTCAAGTTTTTACATTTTCGCATATGGTTTATTTGAAATTATAACTTGCGGTTCGTAACGAAAATTTGACTCGAAATACCAAGTATGTGGTATCAAATTATTCGTAAAAAATGCTTTTTCCAAATATGCTAATGAGCCACCCTCGTTCCATTTGAAAAAATTGAGATATGATTAAAAATACAATTTTAACATTTTCTAACTGAATAAAAACATTAGACGATCAAATCTATTCTTCCTTACATTTACACTCTGATTTTTTTACACACTGGATTTTAAAATACAATTTTTTTATTAAGCGAGAATGTCAAAAATTGACATATGATATGTCATTCTATTCAGAATGTTATTTTCTATCGAATAATGTAAAAAAATACCGAGGGTGCCATTTAAAAATCAAAAGTTGTAGTCATTTCCGGTGAAACGGGAAGTGACCAAAAACAATTGAATACATCAATCAATCCTAATTTATGTCATATACTAACATACAAAATCTCGGTTTTTTATCTGAAGAAATAAAATAGTTATAGGGGTGAGCCACTTTTGAGACGCACCCGGTATATTTCTCTTATCGAGATCTACCAGCCCTGAAAATATTTGCACTTATTTAAGACTCACCCTGTATAATCCTTTGTTCATTTTTATTTCACTTTATGGTGGTCCCAGGTAAAACATTACAAATCCTACATTTAGAGTTGTTTACTACTTCCAATAAATAAGACTGTATCGCATTGAATTTCAGAAAATAAAAATTTTAAAAAATTCCAAAATAATTTTAGGTTTTCTATTTAGAAACTACTTACTAAAAAATAATCAAATATTTTTTCCATCGTTCATTTTATTTCTAATATTTTCAATTTACGCATCAAATTTTACTGAATTCGAAACCTAAAAATAAAAATTCGGAAACAATACTGCCCCATTTTTAATAACCGCTACAGAATAATACATGATTAATCCGAAAATCAATTATTCATAAACCAGACCGAGAACACAACCATAAAAAGTTCTTATTGAAAACGGAAAAACGAAAATTACGATGATAAGCATCCACAAGCTTACAATTGTTTGGGGTTGTATAATTTTCTTAAAAGCCTTTCCAATAAGCAACAAATTTAAAAAGCAAATACCATCAGACACAGCGGTAAATATACATATTTATAGAATTTTTATTCTCTTTCTGTATAAAATAGCTACGGTGTTTATTATGTTACAGTATCAATTTATGAAACAATATGGTTATATAGTGGATGATGGAGGCAAATCGGAAGCCCTATATTCGGAGGAAAGTGTTAGAAATATCATCAAAACTATGCAAAGGTATGGTGCGATTGAAGAAACAGGAGTCATTGACAATGACACATTAAAGGTACTTGTTTTACTTTAGATCATACATCAAAATAAATTTAAATTTTTGGAAAAAAAAAATCCCCAACTTAATTTCGATTATTACTTAGATTATTAATTAAAAATTAAACTTAGTTATTTGTTATTAAACAGAGTATCTTCTTAGACTTACACTTTATTTTAGAACTTAACTTCTAGTTATCAACTCACTCTTGATAACGATCTGAGTGATACATCAGAGACAGAAATGTTGTGTCAAAGTTCAAAATTACAGATAATGTCAAAGAAGATATTTTATTTACAACCACATAATATAATACTGACATTACTGACTTTTAAAAAATTTTGAATTGTCAAATTATCTACATTTCTTCCCTCTTTCATTTCCCTCACTCGGTTTTTCTGCTTTATCGCCATAGTTTAAGGAAAAGAGTAGTTGCACTCTCGCAAATATTTTCTGCCAGTTTTTGCAAGCTGTCGAATATCGGCAGGTTGCAAAGCGTTTCAGTTGAATTCGGTCCGTCGAGCTGTGAGGTTCGAGCGTTGCGTCCGAGCACAGGGACGGATTGACAAAAAATGAGTGCCTTCAAGTAATAATTGGTGATGGGTTTACAATAAATATAATGCAGCTTTAAAATAACTTCATACCTACATTTACTTAGTGTAAAAGTAAGTCAATATGTGGTTTTATTATCGATTATTCAGAAGCAATAGACTGAGCGTCTTTTCTATTGTTTCTCATAAGTTATTTCGTAAATCTCATTCAAGATGAAAAAACTTTAGTTTAAAATTAATGTTAATTATAATTAGGAAAACTTTATTTGAAGTTTAATTGATGATATGGGATTTAAATAAATATAATGCAGGTCAAAAATAACGTAATACATTTTATTTAGTATAAAAATTAAGCCAATATTATGTAATTTTATACTGTACAAGTATTTATTTACGTTTTGCCATCGTAGTTGCCATTCATTCAGAATAGTGGATTTTAATTGTTCGATAGTCGGATGTCGGATGGCTTAACTACCTTAATATCAACTACTTCTAGACAAGAATCGTGTGCAGTATTATCTTCTTTTTCACTCCCAGCTATTCCAACATGGCTTGGGACGTGGAATAATATAATTTTATAGCCCTTCCAGATCCTCATGTCTTCCTTGTAGTTCACCCAATAGAATCGTTCTCATAGCTTCCTCCCAAGTTGGTAGTTGCTATTCATTCAGAATAGTGGATTTTAAATATATTTGGTAGTCGGATGGTTTAACTATCATAACTATAACTACTTTTAATAATTCTTTTTCTCAATTCTTTGCACTATAATTTGCATCCCACGTATTGTAATATTTTCCTTTGAATTTCGTTTCCTATTGTTCCATGGCTTGAGACGTAATGTTATAGCCCTTCCAGATCCTCATGTATATGTCCCTTTTTCTTGTAGTCCACCCAATAGAACCTTTCTCTTAGCTTCCTCTCAAGTTGGTTCATTAAGAATAGTGGATTTTAAATATGTTTTGTATTCGGATGGTTTAACTACTGTAACATCATAAATAAATTGTATACCAACACATAATGGCCAAACTTCAACAGACTTTAATATTCATAAGCCTCATCAGAAGAAAATATTTTTTGATCCAAAGTTTCTTTTTCATTATTAGAATAAATTACCTGCAATTTGTTAATTCATTACAACATTGAATAAAAGATGCAAAGTGTTTATACATACTATAATAGATAAATCTTCATTTTAAATTATGTGATAGATCTGCTTGCTTGTAGGATCTAGACTCATAAACTCAATAATTTCTTTTATTGATATAACCAATAAAGTGGTAATGATGAAATTTTGTTTTTGATTTGAGCAGTAGGGTCCATTATTTCCATTATTTGATGCTGTTATTGCTCTACAAAATGTTGATCTTTATCAAGGGATGTTTATGTGTATAATATTATTATTTATGTGTATAATAATACTGTATGATCGAAAAAACACGGCGTCCAGTGGGCTTGGAAATGAACATCTCGATGACATTCTCCATATCATTTTACATATAAAATGACAGCAATCTTCATTTCATAGGCATCGCTGACGCCGTTTTTTATTCGATCGATCAAATTGTACTTACGTGTGTAATATTCATTTAATGGTTCCTGTTTTAGTTGCTGGTGTTCATATTTTGGTTTTTTATTGTGTTGTTGCTCTACAAAATGTTAATATTTATGTGTATAAATTACTCTTTCTGTGTATAATAATACTTATGTGTATAATACTCATTTAATGGTGCCCTTCTTGCTTGTTGCTGTTGTTGCAATTCAGAATTTAAATTAACCTGAGGCAGTAGGTAGAGGTTCATCCTCCAATATTTTCCTATGTAAATACTGAAGTGGACAGTATTTCTGATGACAATTTTATCACAAACTTTAACATCTTGTTCTTTAAAATGAAACTGCCATACCTTATCTGTAGATTTCAAAGCAATATCTAAATGCTTTTGACCATCACTGTAATCTAATTCTTGTCTGAAAATCAATACCTAATATTATCCTGATGATTTTGATTTTTGATAGATTATTAAAATACAGCACTTACAGTTAACTATATTTCTTCAAAGTACCTACAATTTTATGTATTTCCTACTTTTACTTGTTTAAAAAAATGCCAACAATTTGTGCATGTCTGTCAAACTTTAAAATCATTAAAAATAAATTTTATTTAGGTTGTAACTTTATAAAAAGGATTGTAAAAATATACTTTGTAACATGTATGTTAATAATCTTACGAAAAATGTTTACTACACTTTTGACTGACTCTAATTTTTACATATAATACAAATAATACAATACTGAATTATATTATGTATTTTTGTACATACCGTAGGCTTTGCCTTTGCTCTTTATTTTTCCATCAGCTATTCAATCAACTTCGCACCACACACACTTTAACCATTATTAAATAATAAATAAAGCACAAAATATTGATAAACAATAATTATTTTATATTCAAAAACGCTGTCTAAAAAATAAAAACAAAACTTTTTTGGGTAATGTTTGGTTATATTTATTTTTATTCTCTTATCTATGGTTACTTTTCATTTTTTAGATTCATGCGTTTTTAGCGCCACTGTGGTCATTTGGCGAACCCTTATTTTCCCATTTTGTGACCACTTTTTCAATAAAAGTTCCGTAAGAGTTGTTTCTCCTTACCTCTACACTCTATATGTTGAAGGTTTGCGCCATAACAACCACTGGTACCGGTAACTATAGGTTCGTTCCAACCATGAATCATAAACAGATTTGAAACAATTTGCAAATCTTGTCCAATGCGCATGTCTGTAAAATAAATTGTTTTCTAACCAATTTGAAACTACGGTTGGAACACCTGACACATTTTAATATTTCCGGTGACAAATTCAAATTACTTAAAAACATAGAAACTCGATAAATAATCCTATTTATTGAACTAATTGTCACATTAAATTGATCGGCAACATCTCGAAAACTTGTAGTCTGGTGTCCCGTATTCCAGAATAGATGAGAACCTGAAATTAAGTTATATCTTTAAAGAAAATACCAATTTCAGCAAATGATTATTTTATATTTTACTTGATGCAAAGCAGGAATATTGCCATATTGGCCAACCTGGCTATTAAATTGGAATTGGAAAATAATTGGAATCTTGAGGCACAGTTTCCTCTGAAAATATTAACATAATAAGATATTAGATAAATGTATGTGCAAAAATGTCGATTTTACCTCAATAATTTTGATTATTAATTCTGTGCTCATCTAGTAGTAATTCTAAATCCTCCTCATCACTACTTTCCATGGACGACACGTCACTAATCTCACTACTATACTCTTCGTCACTCATTGCGATTTAATTATGATATCTGTTTACAAGTCTTTAATTAGTTGAACAGCCCGTTTACATTATTCAAACAGATAGGAGTATAATCAAATTTGCTATTATTTTATTGGTTATGACGTGGTTATAGGTTATAACGGTAATACGCATGCGTCGGATAAATGATAGGAGAAAATTTTGCAAACCGTTCTGACAGTTTTCAAACAGTTTTCAATTTAAGTTGGAACAGAAAACAAATGATTTACTAACCGTCAGTAAATCCGGTTGGAACGCTTTTCAACTTCTGCGCAAACTCCTTACTGTAAGAAACCGTTTCTTACGCGGGTTGGAACGAACCTTATAGATATGGAAATGCCAAAACAGAAAACGACAAATTTTCGCATACCTATTTTTTTTTTCAAAATAAAATACTGTCCCTATTTTTTTAATTAATGATGTGGTTGTAAATAAAAAATAGTATACAAACCTCGGAGGAAAGTTTTCATTATTGTCTCGAGATTTAGTTAATCTCTCGACAGTAATGAAACATTCCCTCCTCGATATGTAATATACTATTATTTTACAATTCATCATTGTCTTACCATTGAACTATCAAAATTTATTAATCTGTTTTAAGTTAATATCATCGCCAAGATGTGGAGTTGAAGATATCGTTTCTGGCGGTCGTACAAAAAGATACGTCACCACTAAAGGATGGAACAAAAGAAATTTAACTTATTAGTAAGCAACAGACCAAACAAAAAATACTAACCCAAAATTACATTAACTTGTTAATTTTAGCATATCAAATTGGTCATCAAAACTAAATGAAGACACTGTAGCAAGCAATATACAAAAAGCCTTAGATATTTGGGGATCGTATGGCAGATTAACTTTCACGAGAAGTAATAGTCAGTATGCAGACATTATAGTATCGTTTGCATCTGGTTATCACGGAGACAGGTTAGTACAACCGATACAACTCTATTTTTTTGTTTTTCTTCAAATAGTCAGAGAAAGATGGATTCTGACGACTACAGTTAGATTTTCAATTGCCTGAAATGCGTATCTTAACAGAATATTTTGATTTAAAAAAAGCGAGTTAAAATTAACTAGAAAATTACGATCCATGGCATTCACTAATTACTAATAAAATGACAGCAACTTTTTTATTTTTTTTTCATTATACTAGACTGGGTGTCCAATATTCCGTGGACATAGAACTACTACGTATTTTTGGAATCGCAAAATAAGTTTTTGTCTCTTGTTAAAAAACGCCACCGTGCATACTCTTTGAGAAAAAAATTCCGAAGCATTTCTTGGCACATCAAGCTAGGTAGGCGCATAAACTCTATTTGTATATTCAAATAATATACAGGGTGGTCCGAACTGTATTCGGTAGCATATTTCGGTCTGCAGATAAAAATAAGTAAAAAAGTTCCTATAAATGTATGTCCTAAAATTCTTAGTTTCGGAGATACAAGGTGCTGTAGAAATTTCATTTTTATTTCCATATTTACCAAATAATTATTTATGAAGTAACGTCAATATTTGGATGAAAATTGGTGTCTGAGAGTTTTTTGACATGAGAAATTTGATTTTAGCGTCAATAAGACTCTTACGTGTAGAGGGCACCACCTACACATTTTTTAACTGGTTTGAAGAGTAATAACTTTTCGTACGTACCTGTATAAAATTACTGTGTAAAAAAATATACATTTACAACGTTTTTTACGTAAAAAAAGTCTCTTGGTAAAAATCGCTACGAGTAATGGTTTTCGAGATATTTGGAATCGAATTTATACCTGTCATCATTGACATAAATTAAACATGTTAACTAAATAGTTATTCGACTGAAATCATAAATTCGAAATGTTTTTGTGCCAAAAGTTCAACAGAAACTGTTTTATCACCATTTTTTCGAAGAAAAAATTATGATTAATTTAAAAAAATAAAAAGCTCAAATAACTATCTACTTAACATGTTCATTTTTTGTCAATAATGACATATATTGACTGTTCCCAAATATCTTGAGAACGGTTGCTCGTAGCGATGTTTGCCAAGAGACATTTTTTACGTAGAAAATCACGGAAATGTATATTTTTTCACTCAGTAGTTTTATACAGGTACGGACGAAAAGTTATTACTCTTCAAAACAGTTAAAATACGTGTAGGTGGCGCCCTCTACAAATAGGAGTCATATTGACATCAAAATCAAATTTCTCATGTCAAAAAACTCCCAGATACCAATTTTCATCCAAATATTGATGTTACTTCACAAAATATTTGGAAAAAATCGAAATAAAAATGAAACTTCTACACCCTGTATTTTCGAAACTAAGCATTTTAGGACATACATTTATACGAACTTTTTTACATATTTTTATCTGCAGAATATACTGCCGAAGTTTCCGGAATAGAATTCTCCATTTGATAATGTGATAAAATAAACATTTTAGAAAATGAAAGCTCCAATCCAACATCAGTATTTTTTTCTTATAATCGAAATTTCTTTTCAGCTACCCATTTGATGGTCCTGGTTTAGTATTGGCACATGCCTTCTTTCCATACAGATACGAAGAAGTCGGCATTGATGGAGATATACATTTTGACAACGACGAAGACTGGGCTGACAGGGCCAACAACGTAGGCAACCCGGAGGGTACTGATTTTTTCACAGTAGCATTACACGAACTAGGCCATTCGTTAGGACTGGCCCATTCAACAGTACCTACTTCTGTAATGTTTCCGTACTATAAAGGCTACGAACCTGGAGCACAGACGTATTTAGACTACGATGACATAATAGGAATGTACCAATTATACAGTAAGCTCTTTTTAACTATTTTAACTAAATATTATACAGGATTGTTCACCACATACCACACGAAGTATTGTAGCTAAACGATTAGATTTTTACAAATTGTAAGTCTGGGTTCGTTGAAGGACTATTAGAGCTACAATATAAAAATATTTTTACAAGATAAGTAAGAAATATTATAGGTGTTTGTTGTTTTTCTAAATGTAACACCCTGTATATTATTTTAATTTTTAGATTCTACGATTGAAATAAAGGTAAATTTGATTAAGGTTTATCACACTTAAACCTTACCGTTTTTGAAATATTTTCAATTTTGTGAAATTGCAGTAAAAATTTTAAGGCTTCGTTTCTTCAAGGGTATCAAAGTTATGAATACTAAATATTTACTGAAGTTTATTTATTGATCAGTTATTGTGTTGCAATAATAATATAATATTAACCTCATACAGAGTGTCTAAAATTGATATAAATAATTTCTAGCTTTAAACGACAATAACTTGTTTAATTTAAATGGGACACCCTGTATATTTTAGAGAATGAGATGCACAATTTGAATGTCTATCATCAAATTGTGATATACCATTTTTACTATCTCTTAAGTGTTGTAGAACATGCATTTTCTTAATTTAGACGTCATTTATCAATGTACCCATGGAATATATTGACATTTTTGCGACAAAATGCGGTAAACCTTAACTTTTATATTTTTATAATATTTTTAAATTGTAGCTCTAATAGCCCTTCAACGAACCCAAAACTTTAAACTTGCAAAAATTTAATCGTTTTGCTACAACAGTACTCCGTGTCGTATGTGGTGAACAACCCTGTATAATAAAATTAATTTTTAGTCGCTCGAAGTATACCTGATAGCGGTATTCCCAGCAATGACATACCTGATCGTGAACCAGTACAACAGAAAGAACCACCACAAGACGTTACCCATACCAAACTACAACTCAAACTCCATGGTGGATAACGGTACAACTCGAAGACAATGATTGGCATCATCCACAGACATCCAACCACCACCGAATCGCCTTATTGGACGACAGAAACATCAAAAGAAGTGACAGTTTCTGTATCATGGAGACTCGGAATCGGTGGATGAGCATAAGGAACACGATCCAACCCATCATATACCCAAGGATAACTCACCAAGCCTTCCGTATATTTGTAACGGATACCTGGATGCTGTGGCGACCTTAAGAGGAGAGCTGTTTGTATTTAAAGATGAGGTACAGTATTATTAAGTAACTTTAATAATAGATATTGATTATTAAGGTTGTAGACTAGATATAGATACGTACTGATTAGTTTAATCTGTACAACACGGCCGATAACAAATAACGGCCTTGGCTATATGATCCTCGGCTATCGCCTCGGATCACAAACTTCAGCCCGGCCGTTATTTGTTGTTTATCGGCCTTATTACGTTAATAACTATACTAATTTCCTTAATTTCCTTAATACAGCTAATATATTTGTCCCTTCGACAGGGGCGGATCGTGAATTTGTGGGGCCCTGGGCTGAAACTACTTAGGGGCCTACATAAGTACTCAACTAATAGCCATATCAAAAAACTGTTTCTATAATGATATATTATTATTCTTCTTCTTTACGTGCCGTCTCTTTCGTGGAGGTTGGCGATCACATTGGCAAAATCTTCACGATTCTCGGCTTTCTTTATAAGTTCTTCAAAATTAGGTGAGTCCAGTTTCTGATGTTTCTCAACCAAGATAGTTTCTTCCTGCCGAGACCTCTCTTTCCTTCAATCTTACCCTTAACTATCAATTGTAAGACGTGGTATTTTTCATTTCTCAATATATGCCCTAAGTATGATGTTTTTCTTATTTTTATTATATTGAGCAATTCTCTTTTTCTGCCTATTCTGCTGTAGACTTCGGTATTTGTGATATGTGGATTTAAGTAACATAAATGTTACTTAAATCTACGCAAGTATTAGTTGTACAAAAGGCGACCTTATTGCTGTGGTAGCAATCTCTTCCAGGCAAACTTTGGGTGAGAGAGAAACCGAAATAGTGATATTTTATAAGAATATAAAAAAACAATAAAACAATTTTATTTATTTACTTATTATGAATTAGTAAAAGAAATTGATAGGTTGTAGTCACAGAAATTGACAGTTATTTGGTCATCACATTCCAAGTCTTTTGATGGTCTTTTGTTAGATCACAATTTATGGAAAGAAGTGATAAATTATTTAGTCGATGGTTCGACATTGTTGTCCTATATTTATTTTCTACATAGGACATCTTGGAGAAGGAGCGTTCTGCTTCACAGCTAGTGATTGGCAATGTTAAAAAAATCTTTAAAATGGTATAGCAGTTAGGGAACATGTTAATAAGTTTATTTTCATACATGAGCATAAAAATGTCACTGCAAGAGGTGTAAACTCAGACATAGATTGGAGTAAGTACGATTTTAATTGAATGCACTCATTCACTAAATGCTCGTCTACGTCATCGGGATAGTAATCAATAATATGACGTGCAATTTCCAAATCTATGTTTTCGATATTTTTGTCTTGCAAATCCATTAAAAATTTGAATTTTTTGCTATATGTCTCATAGACTTGTCTCCTTTTATTTAAATCCATAATCAGCTTATCCAACGCAACTTTTAACGTGTCTCTTTAAATCTTTCTGCGCCGTATACTGAGAATTCACCTGTAGACTTATCTGAAAATTTTGGGATAATGCGTCTCTTGTTTATGTAATTGTAGTCTATTATTACACTAGTACTTAATTTTTTAGCTTTTTCGTCGTATTCCTGTAACATTTGATCTGATTAATGTCGTATGTTGCTCACAAAGTCTTTTAAAGAAACAATTAACTTGTTGCCTTCACAAATGTCTAAACCAGGGCTCTGTATTTTTTTATTAACTAAATGAAATCTCTCCAAAACTTCTTCCCAAATCAAAATTGCAGTCTCGAGTTTCGCCATTTTATTGAATAAATTTCGTGCCTCTTTCCGGAAATCAACTTTCTCAACCTCATTTTCGCTGAAACTTTTGAAAATTATCATAATTATTTTTTAAGGCTTTGACAGCATCATAGTGGCAAGGGGGCCATCTTGTCTGGCTTAAACATTTAACCTGAATTTTAATTTTATTTCACGATTCAACAGTTCTCACCTATGGGTCTATTGTTTTTGTAACCTCGGGGCCCTGGGCTGCAGCCCAAACAGCCCGTAGGTAGATCCGGCCCTGCCCTTCGATATATACAGCGCTTGTACAGGGCGAGTCAACAACAAAGTAATATTATCAGTATCAGTTTTATAAAATAATATTATCAGTATGATTCTGCTAATGCTGCATCAATAAGCTGTGCGAGATATCCTGGATTGTTTCGAGGAGCTCTAACCCTTCTTTTGAGCTGGTCCCACAAGTGTTCGATAGGGTTTAGATCTGGTGAACATGCAGGCCCGTCCAAAACTATGACACCTCCCGTTTCAAGACATTTTCTAGCCACTCTTCTGGTATGGGGAGGTGCATTATCGTGCAAGAAGTTAAAATTATCCCCAATTGCAACTCTCCAAAGCCTAACGATTAGTTCTAGCACTAAATCAACATACCTCCGACCCGTTAAAAGTTTGTTGAAGTGGAAACAATGGAGTTTTTGTTCCCAGCATAATACCTCCCAAGAACATTACAGTTCCTCTTTTATATTTTGGTACAGATTTGGCAGCCTGGAGACTTGCTCGTCGTCCGGGAGCTCTGAGCACCTGATTTCGATGGTTATCTGACCTTAGTCCAATTCTGGAACCATCAGAAAAAAGAACATTTTGCCAATTCTCAAATGTCCCGTTTTGATATTGAAGGCACCAATTTAGCTGGTCAATTTTATTTTGCCAAGATAACTGTGGGGCCCGTAACTCCCTCCTACCGTACAACCCCCGATCACGAAGCTTTTTTCTTATGGTTTCAACTGAAACGTTCAAACCTGTAGCTGCCAGAAGTTGTCTTTGTAGCTCTGGATGAGAAACACTTGGATTTCCTCTAGCAATTTAGCACACAAAGCGGTCTTATTTTTCAGTTGTGACTCTTTGACGACATTGTGGATCGAATGAAAATTACCGGATAATCGTGATTTTACTACTAGACACAAAATTCACAAAAAAATAAATCGCAGGGTCTTTTATTCTTCATTATAATGTTTATTTACAACAAAAAGCCTTATCTTAAAGTTGTATACCAATTGTTTTCCTCTGCAAAAAGTTTACTCAGAAATAAAGGGTGATTCCATATAAGTTTGGTTGTGATATGTGATGTTGATATGTGAAAAAAAAAGAAATCAAAGAATCGATAGTCATACACTCTAACTTGTTAATATACCTGAGTAATACATTTATTTATATCTGATCGGTTTAAAAAACTTCTTTTATTTTTCATTTAGAAGCATCATCGTTTATTTCATTCTAGTTTGTGTATTGTACTCTGTCTACTCTAGGCCCTGTGTTCCATGAATGCTGACAAATATTAAATTTGTGAAAATCACCCTTTTTTAACTATCCTTTATATTCTTTAATTCAAACAATTAAAGGTCTAGATGTTTCAGTAATAGGAATTAATATAGATGAAAATACCTAGAAAAAACAAAACGAGTGATTATAAGTTTACAGACCAGTACTACTTGAAATTGCATACTTTATTTACTAAAATAATTAACCTATTTTAGTATTTGTGGCGATTCAGAGATATGAGACGTCTCGAGCCAGGGTACCCCACAAAAACCCGAGAAATGTTTCCAGAGTTACCAGAAGATATAAAGAAAATCGATGCAGCATATCAAAGGACCGATGGCAGTATAGTGCTGTTTACTGGAAATCAGTACTGGGTATCTGACGGTTCCAGATTTATTGAAAACAGTCCTTTGCCATTGTCAAATTACGGTCTTCCTGATTACCTGGACAGTATCGATGCTGTTCAATTATGGGCCAAAAATGGTATGTAATGTAGAGTTTAGAAATAATTATATCTAAGCCTTTTTTAACTTACGAGTTTTCTGAGTATTGTACCGTGCAGTATTGTCACAGCTTATTCACTACCAGCTAAGGATCTTCGCCTTTTTTTTAGTATGTGATGCGTTTCACCTACAGCGCCTATACCCCATTTTTTTCTCAGGTAAGATTTCGACAGACGATGACAGAAGAAAAGCAGATGACGTCCCGTACCAATCTATTTATTTTACTAAAAAAAGTTTCTAATATTTTTTAAGTTAACTATGGATGGCTTGTTTTTAACCAGTTTTATTGGTTTATTTCAAAAATGACAGATCATATTTCAATTTTATTGGTTTGACGGAACGATGAACGACAAACGGACGCCGATGCGTATAAACTCGCCTTTAGATTCTCAAGTCATAGTCTTGCCAAATTATAGGTTATAATTTTGTGTCAACTTATGTCAAATATCTGCGTTTTGGAAGATGATGCATTTTGATTCGTGTTATTACGTGTGTTTTGTGTCTTTTGAAGTCAAGTGGAGGAAAAATCGAGGGAAAATTAACTGTGGACCCAGAGCACAGTTCATAGTTAATGCTCGCTGCCCAGGCAGAAAGTTTTCGATTACATTTTTTCAGTTTTATACAGTTTTTTTTCACAATACTTTGAAGTAATCACTTATCAGTCAAATTTTAAATATATTAATTTCCTGCTATGCGTTCCAGTTAGTACCAACTTATTTCTTTGTAAAATAAAATAAATTACTTTGAAATTAAAATGACAGACACATCTATCACTGTCAAGGATCTTCTCGTTGGACAGACTATATACTCGTCCAAATACCAGCAGTCAAAGCATAGTCAACATGTTTTTTTAAACATAGTTTCAATAGAACTGAGAACCCGACTTGTAACATAGTACATATAAGGATACGCCGATTTCCATGCAAATCATTGTAAGTCGACAAGCTGGCTATGAATAGGCTGTGGTACTACTTTTTTCTAGTGCCCAATGCTTAATTTATATTATAAGTACTCCAGTATGTCCGAATAAGGAACGAAATAATCCCATTCTTTTTTTACTAGGTGAATTTTTCCTATTTCATACATCTCGTGTATTTTTCAGTGCGATTACTATACAGGGTCCGGCAACATAGTGCGTCGGGCATCCTTTTTTTAATAGTTTCAGAGATATTAATAAATAAATAAAAAAAATGTGTTTTCAGCCTTTTTTAAAAAAAAATATTAAAAATACAAGAACTGTCCTGAAATCAAAACTATATTAAGTGTTATTTTAGATTCTGTTCTGTACTTACTTTGCTATAAATATCGTAATCTTAAATCATACAGGGTGTTCAAAATTCTACGCCAAACTTTCTAAAATATGAAACAATGTTTCTCTTCCTTATTTTAAATGGAACATTTTGTATATTATTCTTTTAAAAGATGGAGAATTAAAAAATGGACATTTTTTGTATTTAGAGTAGGTATTTAAGAAATTTTAACGGCTTTGCAGATACTCGAGGTATTATTTCATATATTATTATTTCATAATTAATTATATAATTATAATAATAATAATTAAATTCCATAAAATAATTGGAAGATAGAGTAATTTCTTGAAGTTGAATTAATTCATTAGGGTCTCATGACAACATCATACTGTTCAAACTCTGAATACAAATATCTTTATTGATAAGCTAGTACTTTTTTTCACAATAGCCAGTAGTGATTTACCAGTGCCAGAATTATTATTGTTTCAGGCAAGACATATTTTTACAAAAACGATCGATTCTGGAGATACAACGAATTAACCAAAACCATGGACGAAGGTTATCCTATGCACATGGAGAGATGGCGTGGTGTTCCACAAAATTTAGATGCAGCAACAACATGGAAAGACGGTAACTACTACCTTAGGTTAGGTTGCTGGGGTTTGGGATCATGTTTGATTTGGTTGCCTTGGGCCCATTGCGATACCCCTGTATTGTTGTACCAAACCTTTCTCACATTCTTTCTTTGCGTTAAAGCACTTCCAGCTCTTTTCAAAGTTATCGATGTCGCTGATGTTGGCTTCTACTGCTTCCTCTAGTCCGTCCAAAAAATCTTGCCCTAAAGTTTTAAAGCGTCGGTATTCCAGTGCCGGAAAATGACACAGCAGGTTTCTTCTTCCTCTCCGCATTCTCTGCAGTAGTCGTTGTTGGAAATCTTCTCTCTCACGAGGTTTACCCCCGAGGGACAGTTTCCAGTGATGACACTTAAAATTATGTGTATTAGGTTCTTTTTATGCTCTAGTAGTTGTTTTGTCTTTTTGCTATCTGCCACTGGTCACAGTCTTCGAGCTGTAGCGCAGTCCTCACGGTGTTGCTACTTTAGCCTTAATAGTAGTTCCTATAGCTTCCTTCAGTGTGTTGATCGTCACAAGTGGTGGGTCATCTGCCACGGCCTCTCCCCTGGCCCCCTCTTTGGCGAGTCTGTCTGCTTCTTGGTTGGCCACCACATTGCTGTGGCCTGGCACCCAGCACACACTAGCCCCGCCTTGACTCAGCCAGAACTGTTCTTCTCGGCAGTCCATCACAGTTTTCGATCTCACTGATTGCATGGTGATGCTTCTTAAAGCGCCCAAGCTGTAGAGTATATCACGATATCCCCTATTGGTCTATCAGCGACTTTCTCTCGTATACAACTGGCCCTTCTTTTATGGCCTAAACCTCTGCTTGTAGAACATTACAGCCATCTGATAGCCTTAAAGATAGTCAGATGTCTAGTTCCTCTGAGAATATGCCTATAACTGTGCCTCCTGAAGTTACCGAAGCATCTGTGTAGACTGCTATCTCTTGAGTGAACTACTAACTTAAAAAAGTACTAATATTTGTTTTACCAATCTTATTATTTGTTTTTTTTAGGAAACACGTATTTTTTCAAAAACGAACTCTTCTGGAAGTTTGATAACGACTGGATTATCGCTACTGAAACATCTCCTTTCCCTATTGGTCCCATTTGGTTCGGATGCGAAGAGGAAAATAATATGATGCGATTATTTGGAAACAACTAACTGATTGTTTTTTTTTATAAATACGTTTAATTTTGGATTATATTTTTTGACTTGTAATTATTTCATGTTAAAAGTACTGAGAAAGTTAAAATTAAACAGATATCAATAATTCCAAGCTCTAAGACCGTGCACACACGGGTCGTCTAAAACTCGAAGCGAAAGCGTCTCGAACTTGGAAGAAATCTCCTACTAAATAATAGTAGGTCCACGAACGGGTCGTTTGGCGGTGACTGAAAGAATTGGGAAGATACGCAACCTAATGAACAAATTTGTAACAAGGCTGATTTGATTTCCCCTTACATCTCAAGTGATGTACGGTGGAGACACCAATCGTTCTGCGGTCAACGCATAAAACACTTATTTTCTCTAATTCGGCCAGCGAAGGCATATCGGAGACGGGGTGTGGATCTGAAAGCGATAGTGTTGCCATATTAAAATATGTAATATATGTAATGCGTTTGACGAAAATATCTTTGGATGAAAACTCCGCGTTTGTGTATTGAAAATGTATTCGTGTTAAACATAGAGTAAGCAACAAAAACTAATTTTTTTATAGGTACTGAATATGTCGTATGATCGAAAAAAGTCGTTTATTTGGCTTCAAAATGACCGATTATTGACATAATATTTTCCATATGAAATAACAGCGATCTTCATTTCCAAGCCAACTCTGACGCTGTTCTTTGTTTAATCAAGTAAAATTATATTAAATTGTTTAATGATAGAAAATCCGTATTATTAACGTACTGTACTCAAAATCCGTAAATCTACGGATTAATCAGTAGTTCTGGCAACACCGTCTCCGATAACCACTCACTCTATCAACTGAAAGCAGAACTACGGTACAGTATTCTTTATCCGCTGCGCTGTAAACGACTATCAGCGCGCAGCGGCGCACGAAATCGCCTATAAGGTTGTGCATCACATACAAAGATTCGCTCGGAATTCGAGACGCATCCGCTGTGAAAGCCAGACGACCCGTGTGGGGACGCTCTAGTATATTCTTAAGTCTAATTTCAATAAAACAGTACACAAAAGTTACTGTTTAAATGGAGAATGTGGTTTTGTAGATTAATTTTCTATGAAATTAAAGAAAAAAAATTGTTATTCACATGTTGGTAAAATACTCGTGGATGTTCGATATGGCGGTAATCCTATATTATACAAAATTGTATATTAAATTGTTCCATGAAACAATCTATACCATCTGTGCGCAGAAGTCTTGTCCTTTAATAAATAGATACGCCTCTGGATGTGTGATGTTTTATTCATTTTAGCCTCGCAAACTGGCCAACGAAATTAGAAGCAAACACTGTTGCAAGTAATATTCAACGGGCTTTTGATATATAGAGGAAGCATATGCAGGAAAAACTTTTAACAGCAGCCAGCGTCAATAGAAGTACGAAAATTAATATGTATTTTAAAACAGTCATTACTTTTACATAAAGTATTGCAAGAAAGTTAATAACAGTAGATAATTAACAGTAAAATCTCGATAATATTTTTAGTAGCACGATTTTAAGTTGTTTCTAAAGGAAGTTAAGATGCGAGATAGAAAACAGCTAGACAAAAAGAAAATGTCACACAAAATTAAATCCTATTTACTAAGTTCTAGTACTACATAAAAAGGTAACAGCAAATATTCGTGCGATATATTATATAAACATCGAGACAATGTAAATAGTGATATCATCAGTTTTCTAAAATCTCAGTAGTCCCACACTTCCGAACATTTATCAAATACAATATAATTATTAACCTAATTAAATAATTTTAAAAGATTAAATTCGCCAGATTTTATTAATCGTTTAAATAAATGATATAAAAACATGGGAATTCGATATTATAATAAACTATTAGTATACTAACTATATAAAAATACTACATAATTACGCATATAGTAATATAAACTATGTCACAATAATTTACAGGATATCATATACAATACATAAACTGTTATCTATAAAGTCTGCAGAAATGGATTTTCTTTAAGGAAATTTAGTATTTATTTAAAAAAAATTGTTTCTATTACTATTGCGTTTGTGCCTAACTTAACAAGTTCAAAATTTGATCACTTCTAATGCAGAAAAGTTTTCAATTATTTCATAGTGTTACTTTTCAATATTTAAACGAGTTTTTCAAATTTCAAAATAGTCAAATTATTTATCTTTTTTTCCTAGTCAATGAATATAACTATCAAAACAATAGATACAATTTTCATTTCATTAAATGATACGTGTGTAAATTATAATTTGTAGCAAAATAAAAACACTAAATCACCACAATACACCAAAACACTTTTACTTTTACACTGGACGCGCGTTTCGCTAACCATGTTAGTATCATCAGCAGATGATTATAAACTATAGTTTACTATAGTTTATAACTATAGTTTATAACTATAGTTTATAACTATAGTTTATAACTATAGTTTATAACTATAGTTTATAACTATAATTTATAACTATAGTTTATAATCATCTACTGATGATGCCAATGATGCTGGATGCGTCCAGTGTAAAAGTAAAAGTGTTATGGTGTATTGTGGTGATTTAGTGTTTTTATTTTGCTGTGTAACACCAAAGGTTCCAACCCTCAACTGTAATTATAATTTGTAAATATATCTGTTGCTAATAATATTTTTTTCAAACGTTACAAAACAATTAATTTTCGCGACGTGATTAACAATATAAAAAAGTAATTTTAATGCCTAGGTATAAAAGTAGAGCACTTTTACGCTTAAGCATAAAAGTACGAAAATATATTATTCCACTGACATAAAGTGTCAAATTCAACGAGCGTGACCATAGTTTCTCGATATACAGGGTGTCCCATAAATAAGTGCAAGTATTTTAAGGGATGGTAGATCTCGAGAAAATAAACATATTTTCTCTTTATCGTTTTTCAAATAAGTCAAAAATAACGGAGTTATTTTACTTTGAAAATTTCCAAAAAAAGTATTTTTTGGTTTGGTTTGGTTAAAATTTTGAGAACCACTGGATCTTTTCTGGATGTTCTTTCTTGTAAATTTAATCTACTATCTACTACCTATGTTGCCATATTATGAAGAAATTATGTTCTTTAACTAAAAACTAGGCATGTTTCTGGGGTTGCAGTTAAAATAGTTGCACTTATTTCTGGAACACCTTGTATAATTACTTACAAGGTGTGACTTTGAAATCTTTTTATATTATTTGGACCGTTTGAAATTATTTAAAAAATTATTTGTGGCGTTTGAAAAAAATAGCATGTTCTATTCGGAGTAAAAATGACTCTTTGTGCATTGCCAGTATGTCAAACGTACAGCTTCGCCGCGAAAAGTGTCATTTTTACTCCTAATAAAACAATATGCTAGTATTTAATAATATGAAATGCACAAGATAACTGCTGTCACAGAGTTCTAATCATTTTAATTCAAATTAAACAGAATAAAATTAATTAATATTAACAATTAGCTTAATTTAAATTTATACTTAAGTTTTAACAACATTGTATAACAAGTAGAGTATATCAACAACATTTTTTAAGATATAAAAACAAAACAAAATTATAATGATATTTAACATGTAAGATAGGCTCTGGTGCACAATAGGTCCCCACGCATTTAACACTTTTTTGGGATTTTTTTGCAAGATTATCTTAAACTGAATATTTTTAAGCATAAAAATTGTTGGATGAATGTGTTTTACTTTAAAAAGCGGCAAAAAACGTATTTTAGGTACAGGCGACGGACAGTAAATATGTTAAATTTTCTACACGGATTCAGTAAAAACATCACATATTAGTACTTTATTACCTTATATAGACGTGGAATGATCTAATTTAAGCACAAAAATGTAACGAATCTTCTTTGTAAGCATAAAAATTAAGAAAATATATTTATTTACATCAGCTCAAGCTAGCAATTTTATGACTGTTTCGATTGACAGTTAATCGATCATCGGTATGTCATCTATGGCCTTCGCATAGAATTTGCGACGTTGTCAATAAAATTACTTAATGATTAATTATATGATTTTCTTCTGAAATAAAGTTGCTGTGGAGGGACTTAAAACGGTAAGTTATCACTTTAGTGCAACAAAAATTGAACTGTCTAGTAGCTTATTCGTTAGTGTGGATTATTTTAAAGCAATTTCTGAAATAAAATTTGCGGATTTTTCAGGTTCTACGAAAATATAAGTTTTTTTAATATATACTGTTTTTCGACGCGTAATCAATGAAGTTTTGTCATTAGGCTCAATTAGGTTAGCCTCATAGATTTAGGAAGAACAGATATCACATTGTGCATTTTAACCCGATCAAACAATCGGAGGTTGACTACGTACTGTAAAAACCAACTGAAATAGAGAAGGCGACATTGCCACGTCTCAAATTTGCGCCTATCTACTTAGTTTGATTTGCAGAAAAGGTGACTTTTAAACCTTCACCGGATATCAATAAAACTCAATTTCTTAATTAAATTAATAGTTTATTTTTAAAGAAGCATGCGTAATAATATGTTATTAACCAGAGGATATATGCGTTACTATTAAAGGACATGTTTACTGTTTAATGTGCTGAAACGTCTAGAACTATTGGCAACGTCGCTGCTAGTCTTCCAGAATGAAATGAGCCGTCCGTCCCACCACCCCTCGCGACGGCCCTTGGTCCGTTATAGCGTACTACGTTTAGCTTACGGTGTGTTTGAAGTCGGAATCAAGTCCAGTGAATTTTCAGTGTTTTCAGTAGTTTTTGCTTTTGTTTAACGTACTTTTTGAATCTGCGAATTTTCAATATGGTACGACAGTGTCAAATGTGTGGAAAAATAAGCTCAAATTACCCGAATTTGTCTTTTCACAGGTAGGTATTGTTTCCGCCGCGCCGTAATCGCCGTACATAGGCGTCCCACAAGGGAGCCTCTCACAATTATAATAATTTCTAATTATATTTGTTGAATTTTGAGCTATTAAAACAATAACGTAGTAGCCGGTAATTGAATTCTAATTCGTCTCATTTACTACTTAACTGTTGTAGATCATAAAAAAATTGAATATAAACGTTGCATTTGAAACTTTATTATAAGCTAGAAAGCGACATTTTTTTTCTTAAAATTGCGTCATATTTTGGTCA